GCTTTCTCTTTAGGAACACAAAATTTAGTTCCTTGCCGTCTGCTGTGACTAAAACAGACAACCTTAGTGGTGTGGGTTGAATCCCTGGTGTTTGTGCCTGAACTTGAGTTACAAGTAACAAGCTGCCTAATGTCCTGGGTTCAAATCTCACCTCCACCTCTTCCTAGCTCTGTGATGTTGCTCCTCTGGGCCTCAGTTTCTTTGTCAATAACATGGGGATAAGCTGCATCTGCGTTCAGGAAGCATGATCAACGTTATATGAGAGATGCTAATATTTTGGTTTTGCTTTGATGATGGGGATGCTCTCTACCACTGAGCCACCCCCCAGTGTCCCATCTTCCTTCCTTCTCTCTCTCTTCCTCCCTCCCTCTCTCTCTCTTTCTTTCTACAGATCATATGATGTTGCCCAGGCTGGCCTGCCCGCCTCAGAAGATCCTCTTGACTCAGCCTCCTGAGTGAGTTGAGAGGTTAAGGCCGCGTAGGGACAGAGACATCCACCACAAATCTCAGGCTGTGTACTTTCTTTCTTTCTTTTTTTTTTTTTAATGTCTGCTGTTAGTAAAATATTTTTACAGAGACCAAAAAGATCAGATTAGTGCAAAACATCTCGACACCATGCGTTCATGACCACTTCTCGTTTGTTTTAAACATGTTCCAAGTCACATATTTACAGAGAAATGAGGGCATCCGCGAGGACACCAGATCAACGGGGTGGAATTAGAAAAGAAAAAAAAAATAAAAACAGAACAAAACAAACGAACGTTTTGATCTTCACATTTGCAATCACATGCTAAGAGAAGGTGCGTGGGGGTGGGGCGTCCCTGGACTGCGTGGCAGGGCTTTGGGGGCGGGCCTGACGGGGTCTGGGGCAGGGGTGGGGTTTGAGGCCCCCTGGCGGCAAGACCAGGGATGCACCGGGGGCGCGGAGCCCCTGCCGGTGACCTGTGTCTTCAGGAGCCACTGCGGCCGGGCAGGGGTGGGAGGATGGGGAAGGGGGCGGGTCTTGGTTGACAGCGTCAACTCGATTTCTCTCTTGAAAAGAATAAAAGGCAAAGAGAAAAGCAACACGTGTCAGCGAAGACGACTTTGGTCCTTAACGATTCTTAGGAAAGGATGTTCATTCAGGGAGAGACGGGACCGGGACCCAGGTCCAGATGGAGATCCAGGCCGAGCCCCGCCCCCCTCACCTGCCGCCCCGCCCGCCCCACCCGGGCAGGAGGTGCCAGGCTGTCCTCGCTCCGCCCGGCTCTCAGTGTCCCCATCTGCAAAACGGACAGCGCAGGCGAGAGCGGAGGGTCTCGGAGGTCCCAAGGATTTCTAGTTGGGTGTTAAGTTTTTTGCATCTCTGATGGGGGGAGGGGCACGATGAGGCTGCAGGCTGGGGGGGCCTGAGGAACTGGGGGTGCAGGCGGGCACCTCCTAGTCTACGTAAATCCTTGGAGGACAGATTGTGGGAGCGGAAGGGGAGGTCCCTCTTGCTCCTGACCCCCTTTTGCACTTCGCCCGTCTGCACCTCCTCTCTCTGGGTCTTGAACCTCTGGCTCCACCCCTTTTCGGGGCGGGGCTTTGGCGAGGAAGCAGAGAACCCTTAGGGTCCCCACCCTGCCCAGGGGCACCCTCCTTTATTTTTTCCCTTGCTCCATGGGAATTTAGGGCCACCGCCTGGAACCCCAAGTGAAGGCAAAAATCCAGAGGTGTTATTCAAGGCTGGCCTCTGTGTCCACTTGCTGGGTGGCTCTTGGGGGAAGCCCTGCCCCTCTCTGGGCCTTGTGCCAAGACAGGAACTTCCTGAATTCAAATAGCTGCCAGGCCCCTGGACTCCCCTGTTTGTACCTTATCATCCCACTGTGCCGCACTGGGACTCAGCTGCAGTCTGTCTGGACACCTCCCACGTGTCCAGGACGTTGGGAGGGGAAAGCTGGCAGGACAGCAGCGTGGGCCTGGCCCCGTCCCTGTAGACCCCTGCCCACTCCTGCACGTCTTCCAACTGGGTGCGACCTCCCTGCCATCCCCCAGTGCCCAGCTCATGCTGGGTCAACTTGGGGCTCCTGAGAAGCCTCAGCCCCCGGGGGCCAGGAGGAACAGCCAGACACAGACACCACCAGTGTCTTGACATCAGGGTTAGACTGGGGAAGGGACAGAAGCTGGGACGTCCTGTGGGAGGGGGGAGGGTTTCTACAGTATTTTAATCATGAGTTTGGAAGGATGCATAGGAATTCTCTGAGTAAAGAAACCTGGGAGGGATTCCAAAAACAGTCCTACTCTGGGAGTTGCAAAAATGCACTCCCAGAGGCTTGCCACATGCCTGGGCCAGTGCTGGGACTCACAGGCTCGCACGCACGCATGCGCACACGTGTACACACACACACACACACACACACACACACACACACACGGAGGACTTGAACCAGAAATACTCCTTTGGGATCTTTTGGGAAGTATCCTGCCAGGCAGCTCGGTGCCTGTCCCAGGTCACACATTACCTGCCCTTGGGGCATTTCTGTGTTCTGAACTGAGTCACCCATCCATCCTATGGCTGCTGCACCCCCAGCAAGCCCAGATTTCCAATCAGCCCCTCGGTCATGTAATGGAGCCTTCAAGTTCCCCACCTTGCTTCTGGATGGAACCCCCAATGCGTTTTACATTCTAGTACAAGAATTCGGGTCACTTGAACCTTGCCTGAATTTAGGGGCCACAAAGCACCTTCAAGCAAACTGAAAACTAGTTCCACTCCTTCCAGATGTTTCCATTCATGTATTGGGAGACCATCATAAACACGTCACTCAACGTCTAGGATTTGAGATGGAGTAACTGGAGATGGCAAACCCTGGAGCAGGCACAACCTGCAAGGCAGCGCCCGGTGGCCCCAGGGCTCATCTAAAGGCAGAATCTGTCTTTATTTTGGAGGGGCCCTCGGGATTGGACTCAGGGGTACTGACCACTGAGCCACATCCCCAGCCCTTTTAAAAAATATTTTAGAGACAGGGTCTTGCTAAGTTGCTTAGAGCCTCACTAAGTTGCAGAAGCTGGCCTTGAACTTGTGATTCTCCTGCCTCAGCCTCCTGAGCTGCTGGGATTACAGATGTGCATCACTGCACCTGGCTTATCTTTTATTTTTAATATAGCCTCCAAAAAAAATTTCCAGAAATCAATGTCAACATCCTCAAAGCATCCCCCCCCCCCCATTGAGCTCTTCTCCACCCAGCAGCTTTTGGGACCTGGACTAGTCTCTGGCTTCAAAATCTCCTGGGGAATCCCAGATGTTTCAAAATAAAAGCAAAGCTTCTCAGGACAGCATGCAGAGCCTCGCCTGGGATGACATTTCTCCAACCGCCTCGCGCCCTATGGTCCTCTTTAATGCCTGGGCTTCAGCCACAGCACCTTCTTGCTGTGCCCCAAAGTCCACCTCCTGGTATCTGCACCTGCGACTCGCTCTACCTGGTGGTTTGTGCTCTGGTGGGGGGATGCCTCAGTTTTCATAGCAGACAATCCCCTGCTCCCTCCTGAGTTCCCATTCCTCAAACCCATTTTAATTTCTTCCTAGCGCAGCACAACCCTGCCCTTCCCGTATGTGCCTGGGTCCATGTGTGGGGCACACAGGCCATGCCAAACTTTCCCAAAAGGCCCCACTTGGATGAGCTGACTTTCCATCCAAGTTACCCAACTGTGCCCACTACTGGAGCAGTTTCAGGCAGCAGAGGCTCGATCTGGGCACGAGCTTCTGAGGCCCTGGGTTCTGAATGAATGAGATTCTGGAGACTAAGCTCTGAGCATGTCTGTGTATTCTCTCTCTCTCTCTCTCTCTCACACACACACACACACACACACACACACACCTAGTTTCCGGTCTCTTCCTGTTCTTTCCTGCTTGGAGAATTTTGGCAAAGGAAGAAGGGGCTGAGGGAGCCTGGGTCCAGGGGATCCCAAATTCTCACTCTTTTGGTGGGAGGTCAAGAGTTCTCAGGGACTCCCCGCTGGAGTCTCAGGAAAAAGGGTTCAGGACAGGGGTCTTGCTTGGCAGCCGAAGGAGGGAGGGTGCAACAGGGGTTTTGGCCCATAACCCCCACACCTTGTAAGTACTGGGGGAGGTCCCCTGAGGGGGAGTTAGCAGCAATGGGGAGCTATGTCGGGTCATCCGATCTCAGCCCACCCTTCCACGGGGCACACAGGTCTAAGGGACTGGGGAGGGGGCATGGCACTGGGAAGCTGGGCCAAGTCTCAAGCAGCTCTCTGGGCCTCAGTTTCGCCATTTGTAAAATGGATGTGTTAAACTCTATGAGATGAGGACTGGGTTTGTTGGGGGGGAAAAGGGAGGCAAATCCCCACAGGGTAGTGGGGGAAGTGCAGATGCCTCAGAGCCGTCCCCTTGGCCCCCTGGGTTTGGGCGCCCGAGGGCGCATGTGCTTTTGAAATCCCATTCTTCCCCCTCCCCCCACTTATTTTTTGCACAAACATCAATAGGGACATCGGTCTGCCCGGGTCCCTCCAACAGGCATCCTGGTCCCTACAGCCCCTCAGCCCATCTCAGGGGACTCCAGGAAGCCCTATCCCTTGCCCAGGGCCCGCTCCTCGAGGGAGCTGAGAGTTCCATACTTGGCAATTGGTCTTGGGCCCCAGGATTTGGAGCCCATCTTATGGCTTTTCCAGGGGACAGGAGGCGGGGTCTCCCGGAACCAGAGCCCTGGGATATGGCCTCCTTCAAAGGGACAGGTTTCCCTCCCATCCCAGCTCGAAAGGCCCCTTAGATGACGAGGGCGTGGCCTCAAGTAGGGGATGTGGCTTCTTCCTTCTTCGCGCCCTAGGGCGTGCCCTCCCGACGGGGCGGGGCATCGTCCGCTTGCCTTTCCCCAGAGGGAGACGTTAAGAAGTCTAGGGCGCAGACGCAGCCCGCCCACTGCGCAGAGCCCGGAGACTTGCCCTCTGGGCGGTCCCAGCGCGCAAGTCCCGCCCCGCCCCGCGCCCTGCGCAGGCGCAGTATCGCCCGCCGGCCTGCTCCCACTCTAAGGCGCAGGCGCCGCACCGCCCTCCTCGGCAGAGCGCGTGTCTGATTTGAGCTTGACGAATTCTTTGGCCACCTCGTCGTTGCTGCGCTGGGATAAGATACGCAGCACCGTGAGGCCGGTGTCGTCCATGTGGATGCGGCGGCCGAGCGGCAACCAGCAGGCGGCGCTCCCGCGCTGGGCCAGCTCGCGCAGCTGCAGCACAGCCAGCCCCACCGTGCGGTCCTCGCGCGCGAAGCAGTAGTCCTTGACGCACACCTGCAGCTCGTAGCACTCGGGGCCTGCGTCCGCGCTCAGCGTGCTAGGGGAAGGGTGGGGCGTCAGGGCGCCAGTCGCTCCGCAGCTGACTCCGCCCCGGCTGGGTACCGCACACCGTTACCCGCCCGGAAATCGCCCAAACCAGGCCTTGCCCCGGGTGGCTCCGCCCTTGCGGCGCCGCGTCACGACCACCCCAGGCGGTACCCCTCCTCTGCCCCACTCTCCCGCAGCAGTCCCTGCCTGATCACGCCCCTATTAGCTGGCCACCTCCATACCTCAGTAATATTTCTGCTTAGCCTGTCCTTTGTCCCCACCCACCAGACACCACCCCACTCAAGTGGCCCTTCCTGACCTGGCCAGGCCCTGGTCCAAACTCCAGATCCCGGGCCTTTGCTCCTGCCTGCTGAGCTGCAGATATCCTATGCAGAAGACCCCCACCACATCCCACCAAATTCTTCACTGATGTGGCCCCGCCCCTATCCCCCCCCACCCGCCATCCCTCCTGATGTGACCCTCTCCTGGTACCTCACCATGGATGACAACTAGCACATCCCCCACTCCCTCCTGCCCTTAAGCCCAGGTGACCTTCCCAGACCAAGAGCCTGCCATATTGCACCCTTATCTGAAGTATTCGGCCACCCAGGTGACACATCTGCCTTTCCATGAGGACCTGAAACTGCTTCTGGAGCATTCCTTCAGGTGACATACCACCCCAAAGTTCTCCACCAAGAGTCCTGTCCTGACAGGATCTAGAGGGAGCACCCACCTCTCTCTAGATAACAGGGCTCTGATGCCCCCTGCCTTCTGCACTTCGTCCCCCAAGAGCACCTCAACACTGCCCCCTTCCCACTTGATCCAGGTATCTGCCCCTAGGAATGGAGCCCTACCCCAGGTGACTCCACACACCATATCCCCCGATCAGACTTATCTTACTCCCCAGGTTTCAGTCCCCTCTAGACTCGCATACCTGGAATACGACTCCCAACTCCAACAAGCCCAATCCAGATATGGCATCATGTGACACCCACCTCATGCCCTAGGTCAAGCCACCGTCTACTGTGTTCCTAGAGTTGACTCCTCCAGATGACCTGACCCAACAGTCCCAACAAAGCTGGCTGCTCATTCCAAGAGCCAACCCTCTGTCCTGCCCGGTGACCTGTCCTGTCCCCAGGCCCCTCAGCACCTATGGCTCAACGTGATCACCCACATCTCTTAGGCTAGTCTCCAGCCCCCAAATGGTCCTTCCCATCATATCCCTTCTGCCCAGACTTTCTCTCCCCTTCACCACCCGGGTGACACCCCCACACCATGCGCCTTATCCCACTCACTGACTCCCCTGGGGCTGCCTGACCTAGAGGGTGACCTCCACTCTGGGACCTCCCTGATCACTCTTGCACCAAGGTGCCTCACTTTTCAGTGTTCACACTCCCACATCCAGCTGCCACTGGCCCATCAGACATCTCTCCTACCTAGCTGGCCCGGAGGTTCCCCCGAAAGATGCCCCTCCCTTCTCTCCACGCTTTCCAAACACCCCAAACTTACAACTGGAAACTCTCGTTGTACTTGGGGGCCCAGCTGTTGTTCTTGGATTTGGTTGCAAACTTGCGTTTCTTATCACTGAGCTGGGGCCCAATGATGTTGACCTCAATGAATGGCCGGAAGATACCAGAAGTCTGCCACTTGAGGTCATTAGCAGCCACCACTGTTGGGGGAAGTAGAAGAGGAGGCTGGTCAGGTCACACAGCATGACAGAAGTAGATAAAATACAAAACAGGGCTGGGGATATGGATCAGTGGTTGAGTGCCCCTGAGTTCAATTCCCGGTACCAAAAATAAAAATAAAAACGAACAAACAAAAAATACCCAGCCCAATTCATGTTCTGGTTAACAAAATAATAGCAAAAAATAAACACACACACACACACACACACACACACACACGCACATTCTCTTTGGGGCTGGGGGTGTAGTTCAGTGGCAGAGCGCTTGCCTAGCCCCTGTCTGGCCCTGGTTTCAATCCTGGTCCCACAAAAACAAACCAAACCTAATGAAAACACAGCTAAGAAATGGAGAAAGGGGCTCGAACCCTGTGAATGCACTTCTGGGCCCGGTCATGCCTGAAGCAGCCCACCCACGTCTGCACCCTTCAGTTCTTTTGTTTTGTTTGTTTGTAATGAGGACTGAACCCCGGGGTGCTTAACTACTAAGCCCCATCCCCAGCCCTTTTTCTATTTTATTTAGAGACAGTGTCTCCCTGAGTTGCTTAGGGCCTCACTAAATTGCTGAGGCTGACTTTGAGCTTGAGATCCTCCTGCCTCAGCCTCCCGAGCTGCTGGGATTACAGGCGTGCACCATCACATCCATCTTGCACTTTACGTTTTTTATGAACCATTAAGCAAAATGTCTGATGCTTTAGCCAGCTGGAGTTTGGTTTCTGTCTTGGACTTGGTGACTCCTGGTTGAGGCACCTCCTCTCCTGCCTCGGGCCACTCACCTTTCACCGTGACCTTTTGTTCCCCAGTGCCTGGATGGGTGAAGAGCTCTACATGGACGGAGACTTCACCCACAGGATCTTCTACCCCAGAGCCTGGTGGGACAGGGGAGAATACAGCCGTGAGCTCAGTTCCTTCCCACCGCCTGGGAGGGCCGTTGGCCACCTCCCCCTCACCGTGTGCTGGCGGCACCAGGTCATCAGCCTTGACAGGGAGGCACTGAAGGGGGCGGGATGGCAGGTGCTTTTGGAAAGCCAAGAATCCTGGGTTCTAGGATTTTCACTACTTTGCTGTGTGACCTCAGGCAGGCCCATTTCTTAACCTCTCTGAGCCTACTGCATCTGCCTTCCTTTTTCTCATTCCACTGACTCTCATGTGATCAGGCTCTTCATCTTCTGCCACACTCTGGCAGTCTCTGGTCCCAGGGCCCTACCTTCGCAACACGCCCAGAATCTGACCCATATCTTTTACGTCCATCCTGATCTAGCTCTATCAGGGCGGATCTGGACTTTGCAGTAGACTTCTTGGGCCTCAATGTCACATCCCTCCTCTATTCGGAACCCTCCCGTGGTTCCCATCTCACGCTGGGATAATCAGTGTTTGTGGGATCTGCGGCCCGCCCCCCAGTACTACCACCTCCCCCACTGCTCTCCTTCCCCCAGTCCTCCCTCTCCACCCCGCGGCCTCCTCACCGCTCTTCTGACACACTGGGATCACCTGGCTCAGAAGCCTCACCCCTCCTGAAGTGACGGCTTGTTTGGACACATCTGAGGTTCCTGGTCCTGATTTCCCGTCTAACAGATTCTCAAATTTCCATTGAGAAAGGCTCCCGGCCTCACTTCGGCCTCACTTCCGACCTGTGCTCAGACCCTGGCGCTCAGATAGGGCGGGGCCATTCCGTGTCCAGTCAGGGAGGGCAGAATGAACTACCGCTGTCCAATCAAAGCAGTCCCTGCCTATGGCTGAAAGTGATTGGCTCTGGGACAGTCCCATGACCCAAGCAGGGCCAATAGGAGTTAGACTTGGGACTTTGGCTGCACAGCCTGAGTTGCGCTGTGTCCCTCTCTGGTGCTAAGTGGGCAGAGCTCTCTCTGCCCAATAAGGAGAGATCCTGTCCCACAGAGGCCTCCCTGATGCCATCTCAACCCCCTGATCTTTCAGTTCCACAGCCAGCTTGAGTCATGGTGACGTCACTCTTTCTAACTAACATAGTATCCCCAAGGGTCCTCATGGGGATTATGGAAGGCGCAACTTAAAAGCTATTGTCTCAGACCCACTCCGCCCCTGTAACTTGGAAGGGCATCCTGCTGGGCCTGTGGACCTGTGACCGCCAGCACCTCCACCGAGACCCTCCCCAACACCCCCCCCCCCAGGCAGCTCCCTAGTCCTGGAGCACCCATGCATGGGACAGGAACAGGAAAATTGGAGGTGAGGGGTGGGGGAGAGGTCAGTAAGAGGTTGATCCAGGTTGATCCACTGGACAGGAAGTGACTGAGGGTCATGGAGTAGAGGGGCCAGGAGACCCTCATCACCCCTGGTTGCTGCCCACCCCAGGCCACCTTCCTTATTCTCTCAGGCTCCCACCCCCCACAGTCACATGCTCAGCCTCCCCACCCTTCCCTCCCCCAAGGCTGATGCTTCATAGCAAGCTCAATCCGGGCCAAACTGAGGTGCCAGGGGTGAGTTAGACGGTGGTGGGTCAGGTGAGAGGTCAGACCAAGGCCAAAGCTAGTAAGAAGGGGGAGGGGGCAGTGCGGAGCACCCCCTCCCATGGTTTGCTGGCTCCACAGAGAAGGGTCTTTTATGGGCCTGTCTGTGCTTCCCCTAGCCCCACACCCCGCTCCCCAAGTCCCGGGTCCCCTTGCAGGGGAAGAAGATTCCTTGGGCAAGTGGTTTAGCCTTGTTGGACATTCTGTCTCCTCATGTGGAGGGTGATGGACGCTGCCCGGGGACAGCTGGAGAATTCTTTTTGAGATTTTTCCAAGAAATACACCCTACAGGGTCTGGCTGTGGGTTGGAGCTTGTCGGTTGCTGTCTACTTCAAAAAATGTGCTGCTGAGTCTAACAACGTTAGCTAACAATCGTGAGCTTCCTGTGTGCCAGGAATGGCTCTCAATTTAATTTCTTCTAACCTGGAAATTAATCCTCTGGGATTAGTTCCTTGCCTGTCCCCGTTTTACAGATGGGAAAACGGAGTCGCAGGGAGGTGGATTCTCATCTGCCTGGTAGTGCCCCGCAGGCGGAATGGCTGACTCAGGACCTGAGCCCAGTTCTTAACCTTTCAGGTGCCTGTTTGGGGACCCGGGATCTGGCTTAGGAGACGCTTCTTGGGGAATCGCTTCTCCTTCTCCATGTGGAACCAGCAAGCGTCCTTCCCCCTCGCCCGCCTGGCCGGGGCACCCCAGTCCCGGGAGGCGGAAGGACGGGCCTTTTACTAGCCGGGCCGGGAGGGGCGCAGGCACCGGGCACCGGGCGCGGGCGCGGGCGGCGGGCGGCATTGGCACGTACCCTTCTCAGGATAAATGTCTTCACTAAGGGTAAACCTAGTCCCCTTTCCACCATGGACTAATCGGGTGGCAAGGGAGGAGGGAGGGGCGGGGAGGAGGGAGAAGAGCGAGACAGGTGGGGATGGAGGAGTGTGCGTGGCGGGGCGGGGCGCGGAGAGGGGACAGCAGAGCGAGAGGGAGGAAAAACAAGAGAGAGAGAAAAACGTCAGCGGCAGACGGACGGACGGACGGACAGACAGCCTCCCGCTTCGGGAACACCAAGGACACTAAAAGCAGTGAGGACTCGGGGGAAACTGAGCCGACGCCCGGGGACGGCCCGGGCTGCCGCGGTGGGGGAAGGGGCCACCGGAGGCCACCGGGCTCCTTCCCCCTCCGCCGCTGGAGCAAAGCCTGTGGTCAGGGGCCAAACTTCTTTGTCCTGTCTACACCAGTTTTGAAAAGGTGGGTCCCCAGGGAGGGGAAATAGGCCCCTAGAGTCCCGCCCTCAGCCCCAGCTGCGGTGTGAGCTCCAGAGGGACAGAGGCGGAAGCACAAGACAAGAGCTAGAGAGAGAGAGAGAGAGAGAGAGAGTTCGAGAAATGGGGCCTCCTCCGTGCTCCCCGCTCCCAGGTGGGTCCTTCCGGTCCTGGAGTGGTCAATCAGCCCCAAGACGTTACGGAGATCCCGCCCTTGGGGACTGTAATCGCGGTCTGGGTCCATGACGTCAGAGGTCTACCCGGGCTGCCAATCATTCCTTGCCTCCAGGACCTCCAAGGTCCCGCCCATCGGGAGCTGTCAATCATCTCCAGTTACCCTCCCCTGGAGCTGTCAACCATTCCCTGATGGACGCAGGCGTCCCAGTAGCTGTCAACCTCTCAATGGTCCTGGGACATCATAGATTCTACCAGATGACAATCATTTCAGAGCCCTCCGCTGTCCTGGGTTCCACCTCTAAATTGTTGCCATCTCTCTCAGGTCCTTGAGGTCGGGGCCCCACCCCCAAATGCTGTTGATCACTCATTGACTTAGGGCAGTGGAACTTCACTGTCAATTCGACCCAAGCTCATGATGTCATAAGGGGCGGGGCCAGTGGCTGCTGTGCAAAACGGGGGCGGGGCTGCCTCCGCAGGCAGGGCGCGTGGTGGCGACCGTCCTGCCCTCACCTTGCGCTCCCTGCGTTTGCACGAAGGTCTTGATGAGCAGGTCGGTGGCCTGCGTGTAGAGGGACAGGGCATAGCGCAGTGACTGCAGGTCGGGACTCTTCTCCAAGAAGGTCTTTTTGAGGCCCACTCCACCGGCGTGGAAGTATTGCTGTGGGGGACAATGAGGGAGGTGAGGTGGGGGTGTGGTGGGGTGGGGTTTGAGGGGGGAGCCCTGCGCAGTCGTGAGACTAGGCACTCCCACTGTCCCCTCCCCTTCCTCCACATCCAGCATTTGGATGATCCCCCTGCTACTCCCCCACCGGCCCCCCAAACCTTCCATGGCTCCCAGCACCCTCAGAACTGCACCCATCCAGACCTTTCCCGGCCTCCCTCCAAGGCCTTCCCTAGATCTTGCCCATCATGGGGACTCGGACCTCCTGTGCTCACTGGGGGAAAGGCCCTCTCTGCCCCCTGCCCATTTGCTGAATCCGAACCTCTGTGCATTCCGCAGACCCATCTCCCCAAGTTCCCTCCAAAAGCCCTGGTTACTCCCTCCTTGGGCTGCCCCCATCCTGCCTCCCTCCCAGTCCTGACCTTGCCAGGCTCAGGATGTCTGTCCAGCATGTCCGCTCACCTGGGCTCCTCAAAGCCCTGGCCTCAGTCCGTCTAGCTTTGGCACAGGAGAAGGAACCCAGAGTGTTTAGAAACTGAATAAATTCATGAGGGTCCAAGGTGAGCCTAGGTCACGTCCATACCAGCCATGCCCTCTGCCTACCCACCTTGATGGTGTCCAGGGCTAGTTCAACAACTGCACATTGCTTCGGAGTCAAGCTCTTGGCTTCTTCTCGCACCATGTGGTCCTAGATGGATGGGGAGATGGGCCAGGTGGGCAGGGCAGATCCAAACTTCAGGATCTACCTATAGGTCTCACCCTTGCTAAACACTGGGGAGTTGGACTGTGAGTCATTTTCCTCGATCCCAGTGCCCAGCAAGCGACTAGCACTCAGTAGGTGCTCCATGCATATTTGTAGGCAAAATTATTTGCATTCTTGATCAAATTGTACCTGAAGCTGAACCATGCACATCTTCCCAACACAATGAAGCAAATAAATCGTGTTTAAGTCAGAAAACTGAGTAAGTTTTCTGTCCCTTGAGCCTGCAAAGCATGTCACCATCCCACGATCTCCCGCCTCTTCTGCTCCCACCTCTCAACTCACCTTGAGTTTGGACAGCTGACCGAGTTCCTTAGCGGCATTGAAGATCATCTGGGTCCCCTGCAGGTAACAACAAACACAGCTGGGTGAGGAGGGGTCCCCCAACCCACTCCCCATCCACCCAGACGACATCCAGCCCTGGACACCATCTTGGTTTCTGGGAAGGGCAATAGCCATGTCCCAAAAACAGAGGTCTGGAGCCACCCGCCCCAAAAGTGCCAAGGAGAAGGTCACGACCTTGACCCTGGAAGTCCCAATCCTATGGGAACACTACCCACCACGGCACCTTCACCATGACCCCAGGATTGTGGGACACAGAAGAGAAACAGGCAAGGATCGGGCTGTGGGGGACAGTGGGTAGGGGAACCCCAGATGGGCACACTGGGGGTGTGAGCTCTAGAGTTAGGGGGCCTCGGGAAAGCCGTGGGCAGGGCTGGGCTTCAGGAAACGGCCCTGATGAACCCTGCCCCCACAGCCATCCCCTCTGTGGGGGATTCACTCTGTAATGGCGGGGGCTGTTAGTCTGACCTTTAAAATGAAGGGTCCTCCCTACCCTCTCTGCTCCCCCAAAACAGACAAAATAAGATGGCAACATGGCTATGGCTCTGCCAAGTCAGGTGACTGGGTTCAATTCCCAGCTCTGCTGTGTGGCCCTGGGCAAGTTACTTAACCTCTCTCAGCCTCAGTTTTCCCTTGTAAATGACAGAAACAACACCCATTCTTGTGGCTTTGTGTCTTTGCCCAGTGTTCACTATAATCATTGCTTCATCTCCGTCACGGGCAATGCTGAGACCAGATCCCAGCCTGGAAGCCATGTGTCCAGCCTCCTCCATCACTGTGCCAGGGGACCTCAGGCATGTCCTCGAGCCTCTCTGGGCCTGGTTTCCTTCACTGGCTAATGAGGGTAGGGGGTAGGGCCGAGGAGCAGTGGGGTGACGGGTCTCGCCTAACTGGGTCCTGGGTGGGCTTGGTGGGAGAGGACCCGTTCACTGGGGTCTGTTTTTCTTCTTTCCTGTGGTGCTGGGGGAGGGCACTGGGAGGGGACCAGGGCCTGAGCACGTAGGGCCAGTGCTCCACCCCTGGGCCACACCCCAGCTGGAGGTTGATACCAGGCAGTCCCCCAAGTGCCCCGCTGTCTGAGCGCTTCCCTGCGGCACCCACCTAGAGTCTGGCAGGGAGCCGGGGCCCTCCTGGCACCCTCTGCCCTGCCCACTGTCCCCCACCTGCCCCCCAAGAGCAAGCCAGACAGACAAAGGAAGAAGAAACCAACAGACAGGGTCACAGACGGCCCCAGACGGCACGGACCACAGAGGTGGAGGGCGTGGGGAGGGGAGCCAGACAGACAGTGAGGGGCCTCTTACGTCTGAGTGGCTTGGCAGTTTCACCCTGCCCTGCGGAGAGAACCAGGCGGAGGTCAGAGTTCTGGTGGCTGCTGGCGGGCCGTTCATGGGACTTCCCTGTCCCCTGGAAGCCCAGCCCTTGAGCTCCCTCCCCAGTCCTGAACCTAACACTGGGTCCCCTCCCCAGCTAGGCACTGTCCCTGTCCCCGAGTGAGGGCTTAGAGCCAGACCCTTTGTCATCCTGGGGGTGCTCAGTGAGCTGGCATAAGCCCCTCCCCTGGGGACAGGTGCCTGATCCCACCCGACAGCCAGCGTGCCTGGCAGGGGACTGGGGGGGTGGGAGGGGAGAGAGGGCTCCGGGTCTCTCCTCCCCCACTCCCTGAGCCTCCGTGGCACCTGACGACCCAGGACATACTATTGGGCACTGCAGGTACATTCAACAGAGGCACACACTCAGGCATTCACATGTGCACACTTATGCACACACACAGATCAACACAGAAACACACATGCAGAGCTCACACGCTGAAATACACGTGTGCATCCTCACCACCGACACAATCACACACACAGACCTACACACACTCACACCCTGTGGGTGCACATCATGTATGCAGTGCCTGGAACATCAAAGGTGCCCCTCAGCGGGCTGGCTGAGTGGACATGGAAGGCTTACAACCTTGTTCACAAAGCCAAGACCCCACATGTGTGTGCACAGGGATGGCGTCATCTGTGCAAGTGCACAACAAGGCAACTGCTTACGTGCTGCCACAGCTCCCATCTCCCTACAGCAAAGACCCATTAGAACAAAAGAATTTGCAGAAAAACCAACACAGGTCCCAGTCCAGGACAGTGATCCAATTTTGGCCTCTAGAGAGACCACAGAGTGTCAGTGGCACCCAGGACAAGGAGGAGCCCGCAGGGTGTTGCTGTGTGAGGGCAGGAGTTGTCTGTATACAGTTTTGCTCATGCACTCACATTCCTCATTCCTCTCTGACTTCCGACTCTGTGGGACTTTGTTAGAACACCTGCCTTCTACCCATGACCCCCAGCTGAGCTTCCTACCCCCACACACACAGATAGGCCAGGCACACTCACGCCCAAACACCACGGCCGGGGACCTCAGCAAGACGAGGCCCTCATTACCTTTTCTAATCCCTTGCCATGTTTTCTCAAGAGGGTGCCCTGCAGAGACAATGTCACAGGGTGATCAACCTGGCACGTCGTGCAGCATGGGGCCCAGGATAGTCACAGGTGTACTGTGGGGATGGGGGCCCACACTGCACAGGTGGCCAGTGACGAGTGCATAGGGACTGTGTGCTGGCCTTCATGGCTGACTCTCAAAGATATGAGTCAGAGACACAGGAGAGAGGAAGGGGAGAGAGAGAGAGAGAGAGAGAGAGAGAGAGAGAGAGAGAGAGAGAGAGAGAGAAAGAGCTAGAGAGAAATCAATGCCAAATATGGTCCATTTACATTTAGTGTACATATAAGGCTCTGGGTTCTTGGAGTATCAGAAAAGCAAACAGGCTCCATCCCAGCCAGACCTAAATTTGCATCTTGACTCTGGCATGTGTTCACTCTATGGCCCTGAGCAAGGGACTCGGCTCTGGGCCTCAGCTTCCCTCATCTACAAAATGGGAATAACAACATCCACTTCACTTAAAGGGTTGTCACGAAGGCCATCAGAAACAGCTGTTGTGACCAGGCCTGGCCTATATGGAGTCACCAATAAACACGAGTTCCTTTATCCATGGACAAGGGCATTATTTAGGATTGGCACATGGCTGCCAGCCAGAAACCCCAGATGCGCCCGCGAAGAAGAGAGATGAGCAGGTGAAGGTTTGCTTGCCCACAAAGGGGTGATGGACCACTGACAGGGGCAGCCCCGATTTAGCAAGCCTGCTGCCCCCAGGCCAGGCCCTGAGGAGCACTCCAGTGACTGAACCCCGAGAACCACTGCAGTCACCCCATTTTTCAGACAAAGAAATGGAGCTTAGAAGGTGAAGTGATTTCCCAAGATCACGAAGAGAGAGAGTGGCCAGGCTAGGATTTGACCCCAAGTCTACCAGACACCAAAGCCCCCCTGCAGCCTCCCATCTGGGTCTCCACCTGAGCATCTGTGCACAGCAGGCGCAGGGCAGGTGGGGACATCAGTGGACAGAGGAACAGAGCCTGGCACTGGCACTTGGGGGGTCAGTGGTAGGAGCCTGCCCTGAGAAGCTGAGTAGAGAGCCACCGGGCAAAATCCTGCCTTCGAGGTGCGACTAACAGTTCAAGGCCCAAAGGGACGGTCAGAGGGGCCCCCTTGACTTTGACCCTCTTTCTAGCTTTGGAGAGAGATCCAGGATCCCGGTGGTATCTGGGCAAGGGAATAAGGGTCGCATCCAACTAGAGGGCAAGGACGGATAGGAAGGGGCTGGGACACGGGTTTAGGAGCCGGCCTGTGCCTCCTCTGGACTTCTAACGGGGCGGGGGAGGTGGGTGTGGCCTCCCGCCCTCCCGGCCCCTCCTCTCCCCATGCCCCGCCCCAGACAGACACAGGCACATCTAGGCGGGAGGTGGGACGGTGGGTGAGGGCTGATGGGTGGGGAGGGGGCGCTGGGTGGGGTGGGGGTGCAGCCACGAGGTGGGCCGAGTCCAGACACAGAGCGGACGGACAGACAGACGGACAGACGGGCCTCTACTTACGATCATCTGTCAGCCGTGTTGGGGACGGGGCGGTAGGGAGGGGGAATAAGGCATCGTGAGTGTCCAGGGAAGGCCAAGGAGGGGGTGGAGACGGCACCGAGGGGCAGGCCCCTGACCCGCCCTGTCCACGGAGAGGGGAGGCTGGGGAGCCTCGGGCCTCCACCCACCGCTGCTTCTCTGTGGCCCCCAACCCCTCCCTGAGCTCCCCCATCCACCCCGGAGTGTCCTCCCGCTCTGCACTCTGGGCTGTGCCCTCAGCGTGTCACTGCCGCCTGCAATTTTCTGTCTGTGAGACTCTGAGCCTTCCGAGGGACGCGTGCCTCCCAGGGGTCCGGGCACCTGCCGCCACTCTCCTGGGCAGCCCCATCCCTGGGGACTCTGGTCTCTTCTCCCATCTCTGGAAGACCAGATGCACAGCCTGGTCTCTGGAGAGCCACTGGCCTCTGCTTGGGCCATCTCTGACCTTGGATGCTCTCTGTGACCTCTGGCCTGAGTGTCTCACTTTACTGACCCCAAAACCCTTTTGGAGCCCTGAACACTACTGATCTACAGATGTCTTCAGCCCCGCTGACCTTTCTTTTCTGGGTGACCTCTGATCTTTGAATGGTCCTTTGAAATCCCTTGACTCTGTTTGACCTCTTTGACCTTGGAGTAACCCCAACTGATTCCTGAGTGACCTCTTTGACCTTTTGATGACCTTGACCCATGTCTGACCTGTCTGACCTCTGGTGGCCTCTACCACCCTCGGCTGGCCCTTGAGCCTTAGATGACCTCTCTGAGCCTCCATACCCTTGTCCTGGTCCCCCAACCTCAAGGCACCAAAGCTCTCTAGGCCCTCACAGGGAGCTGGCCCAGTGGCCTGGGGTCCCCTGCGCGCCTCACCGTCTGGTCGGTGAGCGGCGGGAGGACGATGGTCTTCTCCATGGTGTTCATGACCAGCTTCCACAGCTCCTTCAGCACCCGCTTCAGCACCGTCTTCTCGCAGATTTTGGCAAAGAGGGTCAGGCTGGGGGCGGAGCACGGGTCTGAGAGGGGCCCCTCGGCCAGCAGTGGAGGGCTCCCCCAGCGACGCACGGTAGGGGACACTGGGCGCACGCAGCCCCGGGATGCCCCTGAGGCCCGACGGAGCGGCCTGTGTGGGGCGCGTGCAGAACCCTGGTGCTCGGAAGGTCAGCGGGAGCCTCACTGGAAGTGGCTTTGGGGCCTGGGGAGGAGGCTCGCACCTATCGTGGGGATGGGGCGGCGGGAGCCATGGAGGGCTCTAGAGGGACACGCCCTGACATTCGCGTGGGAGCAACCTCGTGGTGGGGTGAGCCGGACCAGGAGCCTGCAGACCAGGGCTGGGAGGGGGCGCGCGCCGCCAGGGGGAGGGCGGACTTGGGAGGAAAGCCAGCAGAGGGTTTGTGAGTGGAGGTGTGGGGGGGGGCAAGGACAGAGAGGGACAGTCCACATGACCCACACCGACCTACCCCGCCATCCACCAGACCCCGCCCAGCCTTCTCTCGTTCTCTTCTGTCTCCTTCCACCTCCCCCCTCCTTATCCATTCCTTTCCTTCCTCCTTTCTTCCACCCATCTGTCCGTCCTTCCATCCATGTGTCCGCCCACCATCCTTTTTAACCTTTGAAGCCTTTTTCCTTCAATCATTCATCATCTCGCTGCCCAGCCCTGGAGCCCTTCATCCACCCAGCCACCACCCATTCATCCCTGCAGATACTCACTCACCAGTCCTGACAACGATCTACCCCTGTCTCCCTGCCTCCACTTACACACTCTTTCACACAACCCCCCCACCCCAAGCACCCCGAGCCGCCTGGCTCCCTGGCCCGGCTCCGGCCTCCCTGGCCCATCCGAGGCCCTGCCGGCTCACTTGCTGTCCAGCAGGTCCATGATGGGCTGCAGCACGTTGTCGGCGTCCTGGGCCACACTGCTGCAGGCGCTGGCGGGCACGTTGCCTGTGCCCTTCACCTGGCTGAGGATGTCACCCATCTGTTTGACGCATTCTTCGATGTGTGGCTGAAAGCTGGGGACAGAGCGGGGAGGGCTCAGACCCCACTCCTTTGGCACCCAGAGGGTGGGGCGGCCAGCGCCAACCTGTGTGGTGGTCTAACGCCACATCAGGGAGCAAGGCCACCCTCAGCTGGCAATGTTGGGGATGGGCAGAACCTTGGGGCATTATCCGTGTTGTTCATTTCATTCTCAAAAGTCCTCCTGGGGTCCTGTCTATCATCATCCCCACTTGACCCATGAATAGGCTAGGGCTCAGAAAGGTTGGGTGATTCTCCCCAGGACACACAGCTAGTAAGCAGTGGAGCCAGGATTTGAACTTGGCATCATCTGGCGCTGAGCCTGGTCTCTTCCTCTGCCTCTGCTGAGTCTCCAGACGGCCCAGGCTCCCTCCCTGATGCCCCGGCCCTGCAGATGCCCACCTGGTGGCGAACACCCGGCTGAGCTCATCCAAGACATTGTTGAGTTTCACCTGGAGCTCCTTCAGGATGTCACTGGCCTCGGCGTCCAGCTGGGAGAGAAAGGGACAGCAGGTCAGGGGGACGGAGCATCCACGAACCTGGACTTCTCATCTCACCAGGGAGAGGGAGCCCGAGGGGCGGCAGAGGACAGGAGACCCGGTGAAGCCGCCAGCTTGGGTCTGAAGGGGAAGTGGGGCTAAAACCCAGCCCAAGACCCCGGGGATGCGCTGCGGGGACCCGGGGGCGCCGCACCTCCTTCCCTCCCATGGCTTCGAACATCTTCTCCAGCTGGACGCGGAGCTGCTGGGTGTTGTTCATGAGGATGCAGGGCTGCGGGTGGGCGGGCAGCGAGGTCAGGCCTCGGTGCTGCCCACCCCCCAGGGACCGCGGCATTGTCTCAGGGGCTGGGGCGGGGGACCCCGGGGCCGCAGGTCAAGTGCGCTCAGGTTCCCGGGATCACTGCGCAGCTCGCCTCTGGGGCTGGGGCGGGGTGAGGATTGAAGTGATTTTGCCCCCTCGAGCTGGACTGGGCAGGGTGGGTCCAGAAGAGGGTGGGGGTCCCCCGTGGACCCAGAGCTCCGCACTCACACCCACCACTCAACACCCAGACGACGACACTGAAGGCGCCAGCCTCCACCCCAGTCAGACCCCCAGCCCAGAGACACACTCACCCCACACCCATCACACAGCCAGAGAAGGCACAGACATGGCGCCCAGGTGCCCTGTGCCCAGACACACAGAACCCGACACACACCAATCAGCACACTCAACAGCTCGCATCTTGCCGGGACAGTGAGGCCACACCGGCTGGACACACAGATATCCAGCTGTCAGGGCGCGGGGAGGGTGGGGCCCTGGGGACGCTGGGTGGGGGTGGGCAGGGCACAGGACGGGGCGCCCGCAGGTCACCACTTTCTCCTTCTCCTTGGAGCAGTAGGAGGCGAAGTCCTTGGAGATGATGTCCGCGTACTGGAGAAGCACGTTGCTGATGGTCTGGGGGGACACGGGGTGGGTGAGAGCAGGGCAGGGCTGGTCACCAGTCCCAGCAAGACCACTAGTGAGATCATGGATGAACTTCCACTCCACGGCTTCTAAGAGGGTCCTCTGGGCTGGGTGGATCTCCACCCAGGACGACCATCAAAATACCGTCGTCCAGGTGAAGACCCAGGTTGTTTTTTTTTCTTTCTATTTTTGGTGCTGGGGATGGAACCCGGTTCACTTCACCCCTGAACCACATCCCCAGGCCTTTTTGTATTTTATTTAGAGATTGGGTCTCACTGAGTTGCTGGGGCTGGCTTTGAACTTGCAATCCTCCTGCCTTAGCTCCCCAGCTAGTGGGATCACTGGTGTGAGCCACTCTGCTCGGCTCTTCTCTCTCTCTCTCTCTCTCTCTCTCTAAAGAGACCAACCACCACATTAACCTAGACTCAATCATGACCTGATCGCGAATTGAATCCCAGTCTGACCTGAAATCCCCACCAAGGTCAACCTGGCCTCATGACAATCCAAACTTGAACTCCAATCCAACAACACCAAACTCACCTGGAAACCTTTCTAACTTACAGAGACCACAGCCTCCGCTCCACCCTCAATGCCGACTCAAAGCCCAATCCAGAAGGACCTCCCCCAACCCCAGCACCAACCCTAGCCCCAGCCCCAGCACCACAGCACCACAGCATCACCAACCCCAGCCCCATCCACTCTCCAACCCCAGCCCCAGCCCCAGCCCCAGCATCACCAACCCCAGCCCCATCCACTCTCCAACCCCAGCCCCAGCCCCAGCCCCAGCATCACCAGCCCCAGCCCCATCCACTCTCCAACCCCAGTCTGGCCCAACGCCAAGTCCCAACAAACCCAAGCTCTGACCTAAACCCGGAATTCAATCCCACGGCTCCACCTCCATGGCACCCCCGCCTCCACCCTGAGCAAGCCCAACCCCCTCTGACCCACGCTGCCCCCGGTGCCCCCCCCACACCTTGGCGAAGCGCCTCATGTAGTGCCCCACGATCTGGGGGTCGGGGCACTCGAGCTTCTTGATGATCTCGAAGCTCTGGTTGAGCTGGGAGAAGACGTCCACCACGGAGCAGGAGAAGAGCGCGTGCTCCGAGGTCTGCTGGAACTGCGGAGGGGCAGGAGGGGACGGTCAGAGCAGGGCAGGCCCCGAGCTCGCCCTCCTGGCCTCCGGGGGCACAGCGCACACTGACCACCTGGAGGGGTGGCTTGGAGTACCCGGGGGACAGACTGCCACCTCTAAAGTTGGTCACGAGGCCACGGGGTGGGTGGAGAGGTCAGGTCTGCTGGTGGACACCCAGGGCACACTGCGTGCGCTCACCTCAAGGACAACGGATGCCCCAGGTGGACCCCAGTGGGTACCCCGAGGGAACGAGGTCACTCTGGGCAAACGGGCAGCGTGGTCCCGCGCCGACCCCCTTACCCCATCCTTCTTGTCCCGCTCCAGGGCGCCATGCAGGAAGTCCCGGGACACCTCCTCATTCTCATCCAGCCACTGAATGACAAATGGCTCAAACCACCTGCGATGGAGGGCTGTGGTGGGGCCCAGCGCTCCCCTCCCCGGCCCTGCTCTGCCTGTTCCCACCCAGTACTGGGGGGTGTCGGCCGGTTGCACTCCCTGGGACTCACCCTGTGGCCTGGGGCGGCCCTGGCTCCCCTCCCCCACTGGGCTCAGGGACTTTGCCCATGAAATGGACCCAGCAGCCGCCATCAGAGGAAGGCCCAGACTTCAGGAGCCCTGGCTCAGATAAACCTCCTTCGCCCTCTGAGGTCCTGTTCCCTACACGGTCCGCATTCTGCATCATGGATTCAACCCACTGGGGTTCAAAAATAGTGTGCAGAGCAGGGCGCGGTGGCTCACGCCCGTCATCCCAGCAGCTTGGGAGGTTGGGGCAGGAGGAACATGGGTTCAAAGCCAGCCTCAGCAATGGCGAGGCGCCAAGCAACTCAGTGAGACCCTGATACAAAATAGGGCTGGGATGGGGCTCAGTGGTCGGGTGCCCTGAGTTCAATCCCTGGTACCAAAAATAAATAAATTAGTAAATTAAATACAGTAGTGTGCAGATACCACACCGATTAGTAGAAGGGGCCTGAGCACCTCAGACTTTGTGTCCTGGAACCACTCCCAGTGGACGCTGGGGGATGACCGCACAGCAGACTGTCCCACGGGGCTGCTGTGAGCAGTGACCAGTGTGGCACTCTGTAGGTCCTGAGGAATCGGTGGCCACCATCCCCGTCCCCCACACAACGCAGGTGTCGGTCACCCCAAGTTCACCTCCTGGGTCCATCGCTGACCTCACTGGGCCAAGTCACCGGCATCTTTTAACCTCCATTTCCTCACCCAGAAAGTGGGGATGGTCACGCCCTCGTGTCACCTCACGGAATCACCAGGAGGATTAGGTGAGAAAAGGCACAGGGACAGCGCTGCGCGTCCTCGGCCTCTCCGACCACTGTCGTTCTGGGCTGTGGGGGTCCCCAGTCCAGTGGCTGGGAGTCAAGGAGACGGGGCGTGAGCCCCACTGTGCCCTGACACCCAGGCGTCCCTTAGCGGATCTGACCTCTGCTCGGGGTCCCCTGGCGGTGGCGCAGTCCTGGCTCTAGCAGGCTTGGGTGGAGGACTTACGCGGGGTACTCGGGCACGCGGTCCTTGAAGGCGGGAAGCTCTGCCACGTACTCGTTGTAGAGCCACTTGACCTTGAAGTGCAGGTTCATGTAGTCGGCGCTCTTGCACAGGCGGTGCTTGTCATGCTCTGATGGGGACAGAGGGGACCGCTCAGCCGGGAGGGTCCGCCACCCTCCCCTCTGCCTCAGCAGACAGGTGACGACTGGTGTCCGACGCAGGCAGAGTCCAGGCACTGGCAGCCTTGGAGGGAATGCTTGGGTCCCGTTCGGGCAGCGGTGTGGCCAGGGCAGGTGGGACTCACCGTCCATGGCGTACTTCATGTCCTGGGCGAACAGGTTCCACATCACCTCGGCGCTGATCTTCCCCACATTCAGCTCTTGGGGGAACCTGGCAAAGTCATGGAAGCATGAACTCTAGGTGACCGAGGCCAGAGGGCACGGGCCGCTCCTCCTTCCCTGTCCGGGTGGCCGTGTGGGCAGGGCAGGGGCCTGCATCCAAGTCCCCATGGACACTGACTAGCCGAGCAGCTGCGCTAAGGCCTGGATCAACCTCAGCCTCTGCCCACCCACTCGTCCCTCTGTCTCTCCGTCCACTCATTCACTCACTGGCCCAAATATTGCCTGTCCACCCACCTGGCCATATGTGCATCCAACCGTCCATCACCTCTCCATCTGTCCCTCCATCTGCTCATTCACTCACCACGCATCCACACATCTACCTGCACCCACTCGGCCGTCTACTCACCTGCCCACCCTTCCCTCCATTCCTGTCTCTATCCATCCCTCCATCCATCATCCATCCGTCTTTCCATCCAACCATCTTTCCATCCATCCATCATCCATCCAACCACCCATTCATATACCCAGCCACCCATGCCCACCCATTCCTTCACCTACCACTCACTCACCATCCGCCCACCCATTCACCCACCTGTCTATCCATTTACCCATCCATCCATTCTTCTCTGTCTATCCACCCACACATCCACTGTGCTCCATCCAGCTAAATCCATTATCTTAACTCTATATCTAAGTAACCAGGAGCTGTTAGCACCCCAAATTAAGGGGCCCCTTTAGCACTTACCTCAGAAGAAATTAAACACAACAGCTCACAGAGCTAATACGGATGAGTATTTCACTGATACGTAGATCCCCAACAGACCTGCACCCACATGCACACCACTATACAATATCATACAATATTTATATTACACAATACACAATATTTATACGGGGTAATATTGTGTATTTAAATGTATTCCACAATTACACGCGTAGACACGATTCAACCCACTGACTACCACTGTACACGAACTCCCATACACACACACACTTCAGATAGAAAACAATTTAAATGCAAAACATTCGGTAGGGTATCGAACCTTTAGTAAATATTTGGACAACTTTGTCTATTATTATTTATGAATTTATACACACGTACAAAATCACACACGTGTGTACACGGTTATTCACACAAATCAGCACTTAGAAAATGCATAGTATCTACCTGCACACGAACTTATGTACCTGACTTCACATGGGCAAAACCACACCCGTGCCCCACCACCCACAGCCTGTCTGTAATGAGACACGGTCCCCTTTGCACACTAGACACAAAGCTGTGTGTACGCACACTCACAAGCGCCCCGGGGAGGGAACCCACGGCCGCGACTCACTGGTTGAGGCAGGGGGTGTAGGAGTTCTTGTCCTCCTCAATGATGGACACTATGAGGGTGATCAGCTTGGACCAGAAGTCCAGGTTCTTGATGCTGGGCCCCTGCTCCTCGGGGGGAACCTCCCCCTTCTTGGCCTGGAAGGGACAGAGGCGACATGGGTCCGAGGGCTCCAGGGTCGGTGCCCAGTCAGTGCTTACAGGGGGCAGAGGTGGGGGAGGCGAGGCCCTGTGGCAGGTGACCGGCTGGGGCACAGCCTGCCTGGAAAGGACCCAGACTCAGGAAAACTGGCCCCACAGAGATCATGTCCCCAGGGCCCTGTGAGCTCGGGACTCTCGGACTCCACTCAGAGACCTGCATGGAAATGAGTTTCACTGAATGTGCCCAAGACCTGCAGAGCGGGCGGAACGGGAAGGAATGCAAACCAAGCCCCCGAGGGACAGAAGTCAGCCCCTGAGCCCGTTCGGCGGAACCGAACTCGCCCAACCGCACTGAATGGAGGGGAATGGAACTTCACTGGGTTGAAGGAACCTCTGGTGAAGTCAGGGATTCCATCTGATGGACGCGTCCAAGAGCAACGTCCACAGACTGCAAATAAGCAGGCTCCGACTCGGCTGAACCCACCCACCCGAGGCAACCGGAGGCCCCGCAACCCACGTCCCTGCAGGGCACCCACTCTTGTCGGCCCAGCAGAGCTTCAGAAACGAGCCCCCTCCACGGACAAGATCCCGTTAACCGACTTCACTGAGAGCCGCTGCACCTGAGCCACACCCAGCTCACCAGACTCAACCCCGCGGAGAACAACCCGACGGAGGAACGGAGCGGAGCCCGAGTGGAACACATTGGACGGGTGGAAATGAACGAGTTCAAGCTCCAGCTCAACCCAGTCCAGTTAATTCTGTTGACTGATTTGTCAAGAGCAATCTCGACCCCAGCCGACCAAACAGCGACAAACGAAAGGACGCTGACTCAGGTGAACCCAACCCAATTCTACCCCGTTCACCTCCACCCAGGTCAGCCGAGTGGTCGATGTCACCCAAATCAATTGAGTGTGAGGGGACACAGCGGGGTCCAGGGATGATCTCAGCTAGGGTGTCACGTCCTAACAGAAGCTGGGCCAGGGGACACCCTGGCTCCCACCGTCCCCTAACTTCCCCATCTCAGTGCTAATTACCCGGTTGTCAATTTCCAACTTGAACAACTTTTCCTCCTTCTAGAATATCCACTCCCTCAGCCTCATCCGCCATCCCAGGACATTGTATGCACAGACAAGTGTTTGTTGAATGATCTCAAATCAGTTGAGTTCGAGTGGGTAAAAATGAATTTTTTAAAAAATAATTTAGTTGTAGATGGACACAATGCCTTTATTGTTGATTTATCTTTTTGTGGTGCTGAGGGTCGAACCCAGGGCCTCACGCGTGCTAGGCCAGCGCTCTACCGCTGAGCCACGGCCCCAGCCCTAAAAATAAATTTTCTATTTAAGAAATTCGATTCAACTTGAATCGAGTGATGATCTTCTCCCAGGCTCACCTTTCTGTGCCCAACTTAACTCAGCAAACAAATTCCCTGAGCGCCTACTGTATGCCCAAGGCTCAGCGCTTCACTGGACTGGATCTGAAGCTTCTCTTATCAAACCTCTCCCCCAATCCTGAGATGGGGGCTCAGAGCTCCCCATAAAGATGATACAGAGGCTCAGGACGGTTGAGTCCCTCGAGAAGGGGCAGGGCCGGGCTGGTGTCCCTGCTGCCCTTCTGCCCCGGGCTCCTCACCGGGTCGGTCTGGTACTCGCGGCTGTAGAGCTCGTGGCAGTTGTTGAAGATGTACTCGTAGGTGGAGTTGAGGCAGGCCTTCACGCAGTCCTTCACCACCTGGCTGGCGCGGGGCGGGCTCTGGAGCTCTTGTACCTGAAAGGAGGACGCGGGCAGGGGTGGGCACAGCTGGGCAGGGGCACCCAGGAAGTACTCACGATCATTCTGGGTTCAAGGAAAGGAAGCAGCGGTGTGAGGCAGAAGGTCAAAACCACAAGGAGAGATCACGCACCCTTCAGAACGGCCACCATTGCCAGGACCGAAGGGAGCTGGGGAGGTCATGGAAAAAAGGGGACCCGCACACTGGAAATGTCAGTCCCCCTAGGAAGCCACCATGTAAGCCTACGGAGGTTCCTCAGAAAGTTAAAGATAGCCAGCCAGGTGCGGTGGTGCACGCCTGTAATATCAGAAGCTCAGAAGGAGGCTGAGGCAGGAGGATCGGGAGATCAAAGCCAGCCTCAGCAAAACTGAGGTGCTAAGCAACCCAGTGAGCCCCTGTCTCTAAATAAAATACAAAATAGGGCTGGGGGTGTGGCTCAGTGGTTAAGTGTCCCTGGGTTCAATCCCAGGTACCCCCCAAAAAATTGTTTTTTAAATTAAACACAGAACTATCACATGGCCCAGCAGCCTCCCTCCTGGGTATGCATCCAGAGTAAACGAAATCAGTATGTAGAAGAGACACCTGCGCCCTGGGCTCACTGCACACCATTCACAAGAGCCATGGAGTGGAAACAACTCGAGTGGCCGTCAACTGAGGGGTGGGTGGAGAAAATGGGGCGGTGTATGCACCTAGCGGAATGCCATTTGGCCACAAAAAAAAGAACGAAATCCTGGCCCCTGCAGCCACACAGATGCAGCTGGAGGCCACCGCGTTAAGTGAAAGGATCCAGACACAGGAAGACCGAGGGCCACGGCCTCACCACATGCAGATCTAGAATGTGACCTTGTAGGAGGTCGCAGTAGAGTGGCGGGTGGGGACTGAGAGGGGCGACCGAGGACATGAGGCCACAGTTAGATGGGAGCCAGAGTCCCGCAGGACCCTCCCCATGGCACTCCAGGGGCTCAGGTCCCCTCTTCTACCTTCATCCGAAAGAAGGTGATGCTGGTGAGGAGGTCCACAGTGGACTTGAGGTCCTGGAGTCGCTCGGGGCTGCTGGCCGGGAAGTTATTCTGTTGGAGCAAGAGGAGAGGCGGGCTAGGAAGCAGGCTGGAGAGCGGGAGTGAGGGCGTGTGGGGTACAGGAGCTCCCAGATTTCAAGAGGCGGGCTGGAGGGTGACAGGGTGTGCCTGGCTGCCCCAAGCCAGCGGGCAGTACTGCTTCCCGGGGGCATCCCACGTGTTAGGAGGCTCCTCTGTGCACAAGCCTCTCGGTAGCCATCCCCTCCAGGCACACACAGGGGCATGACACCTGCACATCTCACCCGGTACATGGAGAGGTCGATCCTCAGGGAGTTGTGCAGCTGGTCTAGGAGTTTCACAAAGCGCTCTTTCTGAGGAGGCAGGGGAGGATGGAGGATTGATGGAGGCGGGCCTTAGCGGTCTAGAGAAGTCACTGACAGTGGCTGCCACACTGGCTGGGGGCTGGCTGTCTGCACCCCAGTCCTCATGAACAGAACCCTCATCACATCTATTTTCCTTCCAGATCATTCTACAGAAGACCAAGCTGAGGCTTAGAGAAGGAGAGTGACTGGTGCAAAGTCACACAGCAAGTCAGGTCCAGGTTGGGAAACCAGGAGTCAAGCAAGACCTGGCAGCAATGCGCTGGGCTCCCCCTCCCCCTTTTGCACCCAGCCCTGGGACTGACCCCGAAGTTGGAGGCAGCAAAGCGGTCGGAGGCAGACACGTTGGTGGAGGCGGTGGTGTGCGCATAGTAGGCGTTGATGTTGGCGAGCAGGGTGCTCATGACGGCTGGCACACCGGGGCACATGTACTTGGAGGAGAGGCAGGCAAAGTGGCTGGCGAGAGGAGTGGGAGGCACTGGGACCGGGCCAAGATGGGCGGAGGCCCCCCTAGGTGCCTCCAAAGGGCACCAGCAAATGGCACCCCTCGCCCTCCAAACCAGCTTCCATCCTTCTGCCCCTTCTGTCCCCATTTCTCTGTGCCTCCTGCCCCCACCTTTCCAGACTTCTGGGTGGCACTATGGCTTCTAACCCAGTCTCCTCCCTGTCCCCTAGCCGTTACCAAGGGCGCCCTACTGGCCTCCCCGGGAACTGCACCCCCGCCACGCCCACTCCCTCTCTGGAGCCTCCTCCTAAGACCTCCCAGCCCACATCCGCCAGCGTCCACTCCGGGCCCCTCCCGCTTTCCGCATGCCCCCGTCCCGGGCTGCGGCCTCACGTCATGGCTTGGTAGATGGACTCGACGCCGTAGCGCATGGCGAACTCGTCCACGATCTCCTGCGCCGTCTCATCGTAATACACCTTCCAGGCGTCGTCCCCCTTGGCGTCAGGGATCTTCACCACCCCGTTGTTCTGCACGTCCGTCACGAAGTGGAACAGGTTCTGCGGCCACGGGGAGCCGGGGTCACGATGGAGGGCGCGAGGGACAGCAGGGGCCCGAGCTCCCCGGCCTGGGCGGCATGTCGCCTGCCGGCCTGTGCGCGCCTTTGTTTACTGAGCTGCGGGTTCACCCATCCACTCACCCAGCCGTCCGCCCGGCCCCTCCACATTTCACCCAGCCTTCCAGTAACCCAGCCACACAGGCACTGCCCATCCACGTCCACCCACGGCTCTGCCACTCATCTAGCTGCCATCCACCATCTATCCATCCGTGGATTCGCCCACCCACCCATCTATGCACCCACCTGTCCATCCACCGTCTCGCCCATCTATCCCACTGCCCCCAAATCCCTCATCCTTCCTTTTATAATTCAACCACGTATCCACCCATCCATCCCATAACCTGTCCACAACTTAACCCATCTATCCAATCTGTCTGTCCTGACCTCCGCTCACCACCCATGTTCCCTCCTCCACCTGCCAAAACCTAGCTGCGCAACTTTCCAATAAGTCAGCGCCACGCCCCCAGCCCCGCCATCTCCCCCAGCATGCTCTCTCCAGCCAAGGGTTCATCCAGCCTCCCACACCCATTGACATCGGCCAACAGCACCTGTCAACTCATCCGCCATCATCCATCTTTCCACCCAGTCACCTCTACTTGGAGTGACTCACCAGGCTCCTGGCTCCGCCCCTCTGCTCTTACCCATCTATTCAGCTCACTCATTCCCTTACCACATCTCCGCCTGTCCGTTCACTAACTTAACACTCACTCATCCATCAATCGCTCATTCATTTATCAGCATTCATTTAAAAAAAAATGAGTCCTGAGTATATAGTTCCCTCCAGAAGCCCCCAGGCAGCTGAAAGAGACAGACGGACACTCAGAGTCCAGCCAGGATGGAAGGAGGGCCACGGAGTTGAGGTGGGGGGGTGGCCTGGAAGTCAAGGAGGGCTTCCCAGAGGAGGGGGCCCTGGAGTCTGACCTTGAGGGGTGGAGAGGAGGCCTTCAGGTAGAGGGGATGGCACAGGGACTGTCTGAGAGGGACAGGGGCGAGGTGTGCATAGCTCCAGAGGACAGGGCAGAAGTGGCCGGCAGTAATGGTAAGGGAGGTCCCAGCACAGAAGTCTCAGCAGCTTTGACGGTGGCTCAGCGGGGCTCACCTCGTGCAGACAGGTGTACTGGACATGGTAGGGGGCCACCTTCTCCTCGCCCTTGATCTCTACGCTGATGTGTAGCCGGATGGCGCCAGACACAGCGGATTTGTCTGTTCTCTTATCTGCAGGGCAAAAGGGGCTGGTGATCCCGGACCTCTGAGCACAACCCTGGGCTCCTTTATATCTGCACCATTCTCTTGTCCTTCTAGGCCTGGGGGTCTCCCTGGGCTTCTGTCTCCTCCCTCAGACTAGAGTTCCTTAGACCCTGCCTCTACCTTCACACAGGATCCTAGACCTCGATTCTTCACTAAGATTAACACTGAGCCCCATCCCCATCCCTATTTTGCATTTTATTGAGAGACAGGGTTTCACTGAGTTGCTAAGTGCCTCACTTTTGCTGAGGCTGATTAAGATCTTGAGTCTGAGTCTCTCTCCTTAGACTAGAGCATCCCCACACTGAAGTCTCAGGACCCAGCTCCCCTCAGACGCTCTACCCAGCAACTGGTCATCTTCCCAGGCAGGGTTCATGGGTTCAGGCCTCTCTCCTCAGTCCAGGGTCTCCAGGTCTCACCTTCTGCCTCCACAGTCAGAACGAGATACCCGGATGTCTCCTAACCCATGAATGATGCTCGTGATCTCTGCTCATCCCTCCCAGACTGTGTTCTTCCTACACCCTCAGACTATACTCACGCACACTCCTCCTCCCTCAGATGGTGCTCCCCAGCTTCTAGGCATCTTTTTAGACATGGGTCTAGGTTCTGTGGGGCTCCGCTTGGATTGGGATTCCCAAAGCATAGCCCCCTCCTTCGACTAGATTCTCAAAGCTCAATCTTTCTTCTCAGATTGAGTCTCTGGTCTGCATCTCTCCCCTCAGACTGGATTCCCAGGTCTTGCTTTCTGTCTCCCCCGTGAGACTGGGCTCTGGAGATTCTGTCCTTCTCCTTCTTGTCTTCCTATAGCAAATTAAGAATTTCCTGGGCTCTGCTCACCTTCTCAACCTTGGTGTTTCCTGCCCCTACCAAGTTGGGCACATGGACCCTGCCTTCCCCACCAGATGAACTTTCTCAACCAAACTCCTTCTGAGACCCCAGCTCCCCACTCCGCTGGGCTCCCTGCTCTGTCTGGTTACCTGGGGACTGTCCCTGCCTCGCTTACCCAGATTGTACCACACGTCCATCTCGCCGCTGAGCGTCCGAACCTCGATGATAGTCTGCCCCAGGAAGTCATCGGACTCCCTCTTGAACCTCTGCTTCACGCGGGATTTGATGTCATCGTCCTCATCCCAGACGCGGACCTTGATGCGGTCAGAGGAGTTGTGACATTCACTGTATAGGGAGGAGGAGGCAGGGACAGGGATCAGGCAGCTGGCACATGCTGGGTCTTGGGACCCTCTCTAGCTACCCCAGAAGTAAGCTCTAGGTGGGGCTGGGGACCCAGCCAGGCGCTTACAAGTGGAAATTCTCTTCCCACACAGGGTTGAGGTTTCCATAGATGGTTTTTGTCCGTTTCTTGGTCTTCCCGACCTGGACTGTGACATAAGGGTCGCTGGATCCCGTCTTGTCCTTTGCCTGCAAGCCTTGGGCACAGACCACTAGAAGACACACAGGACAGACATGGAGATCAGGGTCAGGCACGTCAAGAACAGGTGCTCCACATGCTCCAGGCTGTTCACTGGGGACATTGTGACCTGACCTCAGCACAACAGCAGGGCACACTAGGTTTGCCAGATTGTGCCCGTACACAGATGGTGCCCGTAGCCCATGTAGGATGGCAAAGCACCCAGCCACCTCGCCCATGTGTAGGACTGCTCTCAGCCACATGCACATTCTGTGCTGTCTCCCTGAGGTCCCCAGGAGGACTGAGTCCCAGCTGCACAGGAAATCATCTGCTCACTTGCGCCCCCTGCAGGCTCCACCCTAGACTCAAGTCCCAGTCTCCCACCTGGATCTCCTGGGGTCAAATCCTGGAACACCTACTTGCCCTGAAATTCTCCTCCTCAAGTTCAAATGCAGTTGGGTGCGGATAAACATCCCAGGGCCCTTGCCCTGAGTAGGACCACTCAGAGACATACACTAAACATTGTCCCCTAAGGTCCTCCAAGAATCTGAGCCCTAGTTGTCACAGTATTGCCTGCTCATTGGCACCACCTGCAGGGATCCTTTCTTTGATGTCGCACTCCCCAGCCTTCCCCTGGGCCTCTGAACCACGTGCCCTCAACTTTCTTGAGGGTCTCGTTCATTGAGCTTGAGCAGATGGAGAACACACGCAAGAACTTGGAACAGACAGGGACACACCCAAGTATAACGCAGCAAAGCAGAGAGTCCTGGGCGTGGAGTAGAGCCCAGGGGCTGAAAAGGAGGGGCCGCGCCGCGCCCTGCGCCTCACCGGTGATGCTGATCTTGGCCGACCACTTCGATGTGCCGTCCAGCACGCTCTGCTTGACGGCCTTCATCTGCTGCGTGTGCGCGGTCTTGGTCACAGCGAAGATTTCCTGGATGAGCTCGAAGATCTCCGGCTTGTTGCGCTCCCGGATCTTCATGCGGTCTTTGAGCACCATGATGATGTTCTGTGTCCTGTCCTCCGCCCCGTGCTTGGAGCTCTTCTCCGCGGCCCCTGCGGACGTCCATGGCTGTCACTGTCCCCATGCGTTCCACCCAGAGGAGCCAGAAGCCCCACCCGAAGAGCTCCCTTGGCTGTGACCACCTGCATTTTATGCCGTGGGGACTCAGAAGTCACCTTCAGAAGTTAGCTTCCTACCTGCTCTGAGTCTCTGAACGCCCCTACACAGGCATTTCACCCTGAGGTCCTCTGGTTCTGAGCCCCGCCCCTTGTCCTCACCCCTCCTTAGGCCACGCCTCCCAGGAGACACACCCTCCGCCTCACCATTGAATCACGCCCATTTTGAGTCCCCACCCACTTGGAGTCCCCACCCATTCAGAGTCCCTGCCCGCTTTGTGTCCTCCCCTCACGTGGAGTCCTCTCCCCTCTCTGAACCAGGTGTCCTTGGTGTCTGGCCCTCTCCAAATCCTTTTCCCTGAGCCCCACACGGTCTCTTTCCAGCTCCTTGTGAGTCGTCACCCCTGCCCCAGCCAGCTGCTCCCCAATCCTGAACTGAGCACATCCTCGCCACCTGAGGCGCAGCCCCTCTAAGACACTTCACCCAGTCCTCCCCAGTCCCTCCCGCGTCTCCGCCCCTTCCAAGCCTCTTCCTCCGCAGCCTCTCCCACTCTGAGCGGGTTGCTCCCTGGGATCCCTCCCTCCTCCCCGCAGACCCAAACACTAGGCTTATTCTTCTCCAAGGAAAACGCCTCTTTCCATTAACTCCGCCCCTTGCTCCGCCCCACCCCTTTGACCCCTCACAGCTCCCGTCCCCGCCCTCGATCCCCTAACTCAACCTCCTAATCCTCCTGTTCCGCCTGCCTTATTCCTCCTCCTAGCCTTGTCCCTCCTGGGAAGCCCACCCAGGTCCCCACTGCAGTCAGAGGTCCCCGCCCAGAGGCGCCCCTCCTCTTCAGCAGCCCGCTCCGCCCTCTTCCAGGAGCTCCGCCCCTAGTCTGGCCCCGCCCACCGCCCCGCCCAGAGGCGCCCTGGCACTCTGCGCTTGGCACTCAGTGAGCGCAGACGGCGAACTCACGCTGCAGGCAGTCGGCGTTAAGCAGGTCCTGGCACTTCTCATGGCACTTGACGCCGCACTCGGTGCAGCGCATGCCCTGCCGCGCGATGCCCCACAGCAGCCCCTCGCACTCATAGCAGTAGGTGGGCGTGGTGGCCGTCCACACTTCGAAGTTGTGTGGCGTCGTGCAGGAGATGGGGTAGATTAAGGCTTGCAGGGTCTTCTTGTAAACGTGGTTTTTCTGCGAGGATGGAGGGAAAGCAGCATGGGTCCCCGCCAGCCCTAACCTGGGGGGCACTGCCCGTCTTGTGTCCTCTCCCCCACCCCCATGCTGAGCGCTGTAAAGTCCCAGTCCCTCCCTTCCCCACGTTGCTCATCTGTGTCACACCCCTTCTCTTCCTGGAGGACATGACAGTTCCAGGAGCTCCCCCGCCCCCCAGTTCACCCCTAACTCAGGAAGGGGTGGTGCCCCACACACCAGCTCTTCGTTGTTCAATGTGCTCGAGGCCAAGGCCGAGGTGATGCCAGCTTTTCTGGACTGGACCAGCGACTGGGGCAGGAAAGTCACAAAGGGAGTCACAGCCACAGATGGGAAAGGTCAGCGCAGATTGGGGCCAGCAGCCACAGATGGGAGTCACCAAGACCAATTGGAAACAGGTCACAGACAGCAGCGACAGCAGACCCAGCAGAGAATAAGAAGTGACAGAGGCTGAGTCAGGAGCTACTCTGGGAGGTGAGCAGCCCTGCACCTCTGACTCGAAACTGCCCACCACAGATAGGGGTCACACTTGGCTGTGATCACCAGCCACAGAGCAAAACCATCAGCCACTCTGTGAACCAAGGTAGGTGAAAGGTGAGAAGTCAGAGGTGGGAATCAAGGTTCCCCCAGAACCCACGATTAGGGGAAAGGTGGAAGATCCCCCATGTAGGTGGATTCGGAGAGGAGACCCCGGAGGGCCCAATTCACCATCACTCACCATGGCCTGGAGTGTCCACGAAGCACGTGGGATAGAAATCAGATTACATTAGTCACAGAAAATGCCTAGCCAGGCCCCTGCCCCAAGACCACCATGAGTAGTTGTACAGATTGCGCATGCTCACATCTGCCCGGTAGTGAAAGGCACAGGCCTTACCAGATCGCTCACAAGTGGGATGGGCTTCCTCTTGCGGATGTCCGGCATGCTGTCTATGATGATGAGACCGCCCCCAGGGCTGTAAGACACACAAAGACATGAAGGAAGGCCCAGGTGTCACCAACTCCCATGCAGGTATCACCTGAAGCCTGTGCAGGACACTCAGGTGTCAGGGGTTCAACTGTGTCCCACAGAAAGATATGCTGAAGCCCTGACCCCCAATAGTTGAGGATGTGACTTTATTTGTTTTGTTTTTTTGTGGTGCTGGGAATGGAACCTAGGGCCACACCCCCAGCCCCACTAACCTCCACCCTCTACCCCAAGATGTGACCTTATTTGGAAATAGGGTCACTGCAGATGTGATTAGTTAAAAACGAGGTCTTAGTGGAGTAGGGGCCCTTAATCCAACATGACTGGTGTCCTTATTGAAAGACAGTCATGTGACAACGTGGATGGGTGTCAGAGCGATGCATTCCCAGACCAAAGGGCTCATGATTTGGAACAAACACCAGAAATCAGAAGAGCCAAAAGAGAGAGAGAGAGAGAGAGAGAGAGAGAGAGAGAGAGAGAGAGAGAGAGAGAGACTGTCCCCATACAGATTTCACGGGACATATGGCCTTACCAATACCTTGATTTAAGACTTTGGGTCTCCAGAGCCATGAGAGAAATAAATTCCCATTGTTTTAAGCCACTGAGTTTGTGATAATTTGTTACAGTAACTCTAGGAAATGAAGACTTCAACTTCCATGGCTGGGAAATGGGGCGATGAAGCAGGTGTCCACATTAAATGAGAAATTGAATTAAAGCAAGTCTCAATGCTATACTAAAATATATAGGGAAACTTTCTGATGCTCAACATTGGAAATACCAGTGAATTTTAAAAATCTATCTAAGGAGTGAGTCCCAAGATGACGGAAGCGGGAACAGGAATTGTTTGCGCTATTATTGCCTTTTCACAGTTTTGCCTCAGCTGCCAAAAACGGCTGCAGTGGCAGATGTGGTAGTGATTTCTCAGAACCCTTCTTACTGAGAAGTGTGGCCATCCTTTAAGATTTCAGGGCGTGGCTCCTCTCTGAAGGTTCCCATTGGTCAATGGGAGATCCCTGGCAGCCAATGACTGTGGAGCCACCTCCCAGTGGCTCCAGACTGAGAGTTAAAAGGCGCCTGGACCACAGGTGTGTTGGGCTGCTTCCCTGGTCCAGCACCGCCTGCCTCGAAGGTCTCTCCTGAGAGCCCCTGCCCCATAAATCACGAGCGCAGGAATCCCCTTCTCAGGCTCTGCATCTGGGGCAATCCCCAGCAGGGGCACCGGCTCATTTAATCAGAGCCACTTATCTCCCCGCCTCTGTTCACAAAGGATGTGCAAGGAAGGGAAAGAGGTCATTCTTTTGCTGCTATTTTCAAACACGAATGTCATTAAAAATTATCTTGTGCATCCGGTAATCTCACCAGCCAACACCCCTGCAAATCTTAAGACGTCAGCTCCGACAGCATGCTCCAATTAAATCTAAATGACTGTCATCAATTGAAAAGCCATCAACTGTAGCGAGAATCTGAGAAATTTAAAAACAGAATCAAAGCAAAAAATGTGCTCCAGGGTTGCAGATGGAGGACGTGGGAATTCATTTCTGCTTTATCTTAAATTTATTTCTGCTGGGTGTGGTGGCATGTGCCTGGAGTCTCGCTCAGTTTCTTGACAGGCTGAAGCAGGAGGATATTTGAGCGCAGTGATTCGAGGCCAGCAATATCGGGCAATATAGGGAGACCCAATTTCAAAACAAAACAAAACAATTTTCCAAGGAGAAATGGCCTTGAATTATACAAGTGCCTTAAACAAAGCACACATCTCTCTGGACTCAGTTTCCCCATCCATAACCTAAAAGCAGCAGAGCCTCTCAATTATTCAATATCTTTAGATCAGTTCAAAGATTGCCAGCTTTAGCATATGAGTGTGGTTAAGGGCCATAGGTAGTGGCCACATTATTTTTAACCCCTTCATTTCTGAGGATTGAGCCCAAGGGTGCTCTGCCACACCCCAGCCCTTTTTAAGTTTGAGACTGAGTCTTGCTAAGTTGCCCAGGCTGGCCTCAAACTTGCTACCTTCCGGGGCTGGGGATGTGGCTCAAGTGGTAGCGCGCTTGCCTGGCATGCGTGCGGCCCGGGTTCGATCCTCAGCACCACATACCAACAAAGATGTTGTGTCCGCCGAGAACTAAAAAATAAATATTAAAATTTCTCTCTCTCTCTCTCTCTCCTCTCTCACTAAAAAAAAAAAAAAAAAAAAACAAACAAAAACAAAAACAAAAAAAAAACTTGCTACCTTCCTGCCTCAGCTACCTGAGTAATTAAGATTACAGGCACTCACCACCATGTCCTGGCCACATTACCTTGCCCAATATCCATCTCTTCTCTAAATGAGGCCACTCCTCACCCCCACTAGGCTGGTCCTCACATGCAGATGAGCCTTAAGCTCTGAGTCCAAAAATTACTTCCATTTCCTTCAGTACTGTTACTTACCCACCCTTGAACCAGAGGGATTTGGACATTTCTCCTTCTCCTCGGGCCTGCAGGACAGACAGATGGACATGGTCAGTGTGGTTGTCCTCCAACCCCACAGCAGACTGCAATTCAATTCTGTCTCCCCTTTGGGCTTGGAGTCAGGAACCTGGGTCCTACTCCCAGCTGTGTGTCCTTAGGGAGTTCTCAGGATTTCTCTGAGCCTTAGTTTGTCCATCTTTAAAGTAGGCTGGGGGAGATTTCTCTCTGTCACCAACCTCAATCAAACCTCATTTGTCAAACCTGGGGGTTTGTTAGCATCATCCCCAAAAAGAGTTTGTCCTCTGTAGCTCTGGGATTAAAGGAAGCAGTGCTCTTCTGAAATAATGTTGAAATATTTTGCATATCCAATTTCTTCCCTTTGTGGTGCTGGAACCCAAACCTTGCAATTGCTCCACCACTGAGGCACACGCAGCCAGAATGTCACTCATCTTTAAGTGTTACCTCCTCTAGGAAGCTTTCCTGATAACCTTGGGGTAGTTTTATGTTCTTCTGTGAAACCCAGATAACCTGCCCAAATTTATTTTTCTTGTCATATCACTAGTTCCACCGGCAACAGTGAAGGCTGCATTTAACTTACTGACTTAGCGAAAGTTACTCAATAGACTTTTTTTTTTTTACTATATACTCTTTCTTCTCTTTCGAATTTAGAATCATGTGAATGTATTAATCAAAAATAATATAAAATTCCATTTCAAAGCAAATAAGGCATTTGGTTTGAAATTTCTGAGACTTTGATATTTAATGGTCTCAGGTGTTTGTTTAGGGTCTTCTGCCAGCCTCACCCCAGATTGAAAGGTCACTGTGGATGACACAGCCCAGGTGGGTGGAATGAAGGAATAATGAGTGGCTTCAACCCCACTGCCCACTTGCAGTCATCCCAGAAGTTAAATCTTTCACTTTATTTCTTCTCTGATGCTGACCCAACCTCACATCTTTCTCTAATCTGGACAATGACCTACAATTTTTAACAGGGAAACCCTAAATAAACCCTCTGGCTTCACATTCTCTTAATAGATCTAAAAATCACTAATCTTGGAGGGCATGCAGCCGGGAAATACATTGTTAGTCTCCCACTAGCTTTGCTGTAGATCACATCCCTGATATCTGGCTATGTGATCATGACAATTGCCTAGGTTACTCTTCCAGGACTTGAAGGTCACTTTTTGGGAAAACGCCGACTCTTCCCTTGGTCCTATAGGCGTCCGTGCTTACTGGTGTCTGTCTCCCCTGCTGTCTTAATCTTTGGGTCAGATTCTGCTCAGCTCTGCATGTTGACATGTTGATCATTTGAGAAGTGGTTCTTCCAAAACTAGAATACAGGGTTAACTCCACCTAGGCTCTCTCTGCCTTCAAGGCTCAAGACACCTACTAGCCAGCAAGGAGTAAAAAGAGGTGGCACCTCAGTTCCTGGAGATCTCAGCCCAGGCCCCTAAATATTCCTCCACTGTATTAACCTAACGCTCTCATAATAAATTCCTCTTTTTCCACTTAACGTCCTTGAAAGTTCTCCCTGTGCCAAGCAGAAGCCCTTAACGGAAGCCTTGGCTGGGCACCTCCTTCTGGCCTCCTGTCCTTGCCTACCTCCAGGAGGCTAAAGCCTGGGGTCTCTGACCTTCCTTTCCTAGCCTCATATCCCCTGTCTGCAAAGGTGCAGCACTGCCCAGCAGGCAGAGCAGCAATGGGCGGGGCCAAGCAGGTGTGGGTGGGGCCAAGAACTTGGCTGTGGAGGTGATGAAGGCAGGGCTGCAGGAGGTGGGAAAATGGGCATGGCCAAGCTGTCTTAGGCTAGGTGTGGGCAAGGCCAGGGCACAGGGATCAAGTTGGCAAGGGTGCGAGATGGCGCGCAGCATGAGGAAGGCATGGCAGGAAAGGGTCAGAGTGGGCGAGGCGCGGCGGGATGTGGGAAGCAGGTACGTCCATTCTGAATACCAGCAGGAACAGGAGAGGGGAGTTGGGCGTGGCAATTAGCCTGAAGGGGTCAGTGGGTGGGGTCAAGCTGCGTGAGGGTGTGGTATTGGGCGTGGTCAAGCGGGTGTGGGCGGGGCTGCGTGCGGCTCACTCACCTCCTGCAGCTGCATCCTCACTTTGTTGAAGGCTCGCAGCCAGTTGGCCTTGGCCCTGGACATGGAGTCCTGACCCTCCTGGCCTTCCTCATCCTCCCGTGGCCTGAAACTGAGACAGGGAACGTGATGAGCTGCCAGGGCCATGATCCTGTCCCCTGACCCTCTGCCTTCCAAGCCATGCACGCTGTGGCCTCTCTGGCTCCTTAGAATCGCTATCACCCTCCGGACTCACCCCCCTGATCCCTTCACCGCCAGAACCTCCTGGGCCCTCTGGCCCTTGGTAATTCCGTTTGTCCCTGGTCATTCAGATGCTCTGAGGCCTCTCCTGTCTCAGCAGCCCCTAAGGTCACGCCCCTAAGAGCCTTTCATGAACCCACTCACCCACCTTGTCACCTCTGAGTCCTTCAATAAATGCACGGCCCTGTGACACTCCAGACCCACAGCTGCCCAGGTCCACAATCACACCCTTCATGGCCTTGCTGACCCATGACCTTGACCCAGCCCCTCCAGGCCCCTCAACCCGTCTGTTACCTCTCCTCAGCCTTGGGGGGTTCAGGCTCGGGTGCTCCAGGCACCTCTTCAGGTGTGGGTGGCTTGGAGGTCGCCTTGGGCACATCGGGGGCCTCCGTGGGCAAGGTGGGGGCCTTGTCCTCCTTCTCGGGAGCAGCTGGTGGGTGGCTGAGGCGCTTGAAGTCTTTGGGCTCCGCTGCGACTGACTCCTGCCGGACATAGCTGCCCAGGTCGTCGGGCACCTCCTCCTCCTCCTCCACCTCCTCCTCCTCCTCCTCTTCCTCCTCCTCCTCGGGCAGCTCCTCATCCTCCAGATCCTCCTCCAGGTCCTCCTCCAGGTCCTCCTCTAGGTCCTCCTCATCCTGGTCCCAGCGGGGCGAGTCTTTGTGGTAGCTCACGGAGCTGTGGCAGGAGTGGTAGGAGTCCCGGTCGCGCTCGTCCTCCAGCTCCGAGCCCTGCAGGCTCTGCTCGTCGGGGTCGAAGTCCTCGCTCAGCTGGGAGCTGCCCTGGCTCAGCTCTCCCGAGGAGGCGTAGTGGCTGCTGCCGGTGGGGCTGCGGGATGGGATGGGCTGGAGCTCAGGGCTGGGGTGCCCCACCACTGACCCTGAGCCCCATCATCACCCTGGCGTTCGCTCTGCATCAATTGAGCACCTACTGTGTGCATGCATACAGTAGGCACCAAGAAACACAGCTGAGAACAAAAAAGACCCAAGTTCCTGCTCTTGTGGCATTTACATCTGGGTAGAGGGACGGGCAATACACCAGATTGATGACATTATTACCTTTCTTTCTTTTCTGGTGCTGAGAATGAACCCAGTGCCTGGTGCATGCTGGGTGAGCGCTCTGCCACTGAGTCACGCCCCAGTCCCTGGTGATGTGATTAGGTCAGTAACCTGCCTGTGAGGCTCTGGGGTCTCTGTGCTCCCTGAGGATGCTGCTCAGGTCTGGGGGTCCTAGATCAGCTCCCCGCTACAGCCTCCATGGTCACCTGGTGCTTCCAGAACTTGAATGTGGCCATGCCTGGCTCTTGGTGTCCTCCTGTGTCCTCCCACCATGAATTCCCCTGGATTCACCAGTACCTGGGCCCGCCTGCCTCTGTTCCTTGCAGCCACCCACAACCCCCACCGCAGCAGGTCCCCATGCCTCCTCCTCAAATACATATGGGAGGCCCAGGGCGGGGGTGGCTCAGTGACAGAGCACTAGTCTAGCACGTGTGAGGCCCCGCACTGCAAAAATAAAAATAAAGATTAGGAAATGCTGGGGCTGGGGTTGGAGCTCAGTGGTAAAGTGCTCGCCTAGCACGTGAGAGACCCTGAGTTCCATCCACAGCATCACATAGAAATCAATAAAATAAAGGTGTATGTCCAACTACAACTAAAAAATAAATATTAAAAAAAAAGAATAGGAAATGCATCCACTTTCCTGAGTCCTGGGTCTAGACTCTGTCCCAACATCTACTCTTGTCCCCAATGGACCCTGCTCCCTTAAAGGCCACAAGGGGTTCTTAGAACCATAAAGCAAATTGCATCCCTCTCTTGTTGCAAATCCTGCCGTGGCTCCCTAGTACCTTGCAATAAAACCTGTGCTCAGCCTCATGGGGCTCAGGCTCCCAGCCTCCCACCCCGACCTCCCTCCACTTTCCCACACCCTCCACCGCAGCCTCCTCGCTGTTCCTTCAACACCCTCAGTTTACGCCCAGGAACACCCTTCCTTGCTGGCTTTACCTGGTAAATTCTTACTCATCCTTTAGGACCCACTGAAATGTCCATTTCCTGGATGTGTTCACACCCACTGGCCAGGTCAGGCCCCCATTATATGCTCCTCATGTGCACCCTGGATTGTTCTCTGCATGACCAGAGAAAATTACCTGTCTCTGCCCTAGGAAAGGCGGGCCAGCCCGGGGCCCACCACTAACCTTCCAACAGAAGCTCTGGTCATTCAAAGCATATCATTTGTCCCCATCTTAAATACTGTTTCCAGCCTCAGTGCTGAGGACCCTCTTCCCCAGCCAGTCCTGGGGGTGCTTTAGGGATCATACGAGGGGCTTCTCCCTCAAGCCCTTTTTTGCTAGATTGTGTGTTTAGTTAGTTGCTTTTTAGCACTGACCTACTAGCCACCAGAGAGAGGCTGAGGGAGCAGCAGCGATTAGCGGGCACTGAAGGACTAGGGCGCCCTCTGCTGGTGGATTCTTCAAAGTCCACCCCGGCACATTCCAGGTATTGTCCACCTGCAAACTTGGCCGCCATATAAACTGGTTTAACAGGCTTCGTTTCCACTTCTCAAACTGAAGGGTGGTACTCGGTGATCCCCAAGTCTTCTCCCAGCCCAGGCTCTGACATTCGGAGGCTGATACCACTCAGGTGCCTCCCCAGGCTCCGCTGCCCTTGAACCAGCCTTCTTAGAGGCCAACACCCTTCCTTGCTGGCTTTACCTGGTAAATTCTTACTCATCCTTTATAGGTGTGCACCACCACGCCTGGCTGGCATTCCCTGAAATTTTACACCTGAAATGAGTTTCTTGTTCCTGGGCTCAAGATCTAGGGGTAACTTTCAATTGCATGATTCCGCCCCCTCACCCTTCCAGCCCCGAGCCACTGTTTCTGCTGCCTGGAATCCCTTTCCCCTCCTGGGATGACATATTCATCCTTGAAGGGTGGATCCACGCACCCTCCTCCAGGAAGCATTCCCTGTCTTCCCACACCACCATAATGCCGTGCCCTGTCCCTCCCTCCAGCTGAGCGCTGGCCTGTGGGATGACACTTCCAGTGGCCAGCCTCTCGGAGCCCAGCATCAGCTAAGATGGCCACAGAGGGTGATGAGAGTTGCTCAGGGGACGAAGGTGGTTCCTGCCCCATGCGTCCATCCCCCATTCTGGAAAGTCTCCTTCACCCATGCGCGGCCAAGCTTGGGTTGGGGGTCTCCTCCTTCCTGCTCTGCACCACCCCCTGTGCGTTTTCAGAAATTTGCACAATAGACAGGACTCCATCAGGGACAGATGGATAGACATCAGGCCAGAGAAGAATGTGAAATGGTCACGTACACAAGATAAGAGGTGAAGGTCAAGCTGCACCAGCCAGAGCTGGACGGACACCAGCTCCATGCACAGCAGCCTAGAGACGTGAGCAACACCCCTGCCCCGTGGGCCTCAGTTTCCCCACCTGTAAGATGGGCACAATCCACCTGTGCTTCCCAGCTTCAGGGACATTCACAGAGATCGTGAGGGGCATTGTGCACCCTCCACTCCAAGGACGAAGAGTCTCGGAGAATCCATTTTCCCTCTAAGGAAAATATTCCCAGGCAAATACTCTTCCCAGAACTCTGCGGATGACACCAGGCTGATTACTACTTTGCTTTGTTTCCTCTAAGATAAGACTTCCTTCTTCGTGAAGAGTTAATATTTTATTTATGTGCAGTGCCTCACTTTCCTCTGGGCTGCTTCCAATGCATTGAAACTTTCTTCCAATAATTGCATAAGTGGAGCCCATGCCCGCCAAGAACAAAGCGTTAAAGACCATGCTGACTGCAGAAATGGTCGCGGGAACTGCTAGAGAGACGAAGCGCTTCTGAAGAGAGTTTGAGAAAGTTGCAAGTACAAATAAAGAGAGATCTGGGTTTTTGTTTTTAGTTAAATATCACAGATGGCTCCAAGATTTGTGGAAGGATGGCCAGAGAAAACCCAGCTGGGTGTGATTCAACCCCCACTTCAGACCTAAAAGCGTCACATGGAGTGTATCCTTCCATTTCCTTGGATCTTAAATATCAACAGAATAGAGTATGTGTCCCAGCTTTTAAAAAGTTTCTTCTAGAATGTTTTATCTATAAACTAGACAGGTTTTATGTCTAGTGTCCTATACAAAATATAGGAACTTCAAAAAAAATTGTTCAATACCTGCAAAGAAATCCTTGATGCTAAAGATTGAGTAGGAAGGTTTTCTTTCAAATTATATTTTGATTGAACTCGGGGGCACTTAACCACTGAGCCACATCCCCTGCCCTTTTATATATTTTATAGAGAGATTTCGCTTGTTGCTCAGGGCCTTGCTATGTTGCTGAGGCTGGCTTTGAACTCATGATCCTTCTGCCTCAGCCTCCAGAGTTGCTGGGATTACAGGTGTGTGTCCCAGCACCCAGCTGGGTCGCTTCTTTTTTAATTCATGGATCTATCAAAATATAACTCTAAAGGTTGGGGATGGAGCTCGGTGAAGGAGCACTCACCTAGCAAGCTCAAAGCCCTGGTTCTGATCCCCGGCACCATGCATAAATATACATATTATATGGAATATATTATAGGTATAATTTATATTATATAAATATAGATATGTGTATTATATTTGTATGCAATAAAACACTAAAATATTACTTGTTTGAATGAGTTTTTGGGCATCCCTTAATTTCTTTTCATGTGTGTGAGGGACAGAGAGCACAGGAGAGACACTGGGGATTGAACCCAGGGGTGCTTAACCACTGAACCACATTCCCAGCCCTTTTTATTTTTTATTTTGAGGCAGGGTCTTGCTAAGCTGCTGAAACTGGCCTTGAACCTGATCTCCTCATGCCTTAACCTCAGAGTCCCTGAGATTATAGGTGTGCATCACCACGCCTGGCTGGCATTCCCTTAGATTTTACACCTGAAATGAGTTTCTTGTTCCTGGGCTCAAAATCTAGGGCTAACTTTCAATTCCTTGATGGGAGAACACAGGGCGGGGCCATGTGGAGGAAAGGCGGGGCCACAGGTAAGGGCGGGGCCATGTGGAGAAAGGGTGGGGCCACAGGGAAGGGCGGGGCCACAGGGAAGGGCGGGGCCATGTGGAGGAAAGACTGGGCCACAGGGAAGGGCGGAGCCAAGTGGAAGAAGGGCAGGGCCATGGGGAAGGGCGGGGCCATGGGGAAGGGCGGGGCCACGGGGAAGGGCGGGGCCAAGTGGAAGAAGGGCGGGGCCACGGGGAAGGGTAGGGCATATGGAGAATGGACGGGCCACGGGGAAGGGCGTGGCCATCACTGTGCCCCACCCCCACACACCGGTGAGACCTTTCCCCTTCAGTCATCCCCTCTCCTCTGCCCAGTCACACAGTATGCAGGGACCAGTGGCTTCTAAAGGGTATGCCACAGAGGTCCCATAGGTCCAGAAAACCTCTGGGGCCTGAAGGTCCTTCTCGCTTCAGCCCACACAAGCCGCCTTTCATGAACCTCGTGGACTTTCTTGCCCTTTGGTAAAGCAGGATTCCACCACCCACAAGAGAGCGTGGACCCCCTTCTCCGAGATCTGCTTACTGCGCCCCAGTCCCGGGGACAGCGACCCTCCCACACGCCATGGCAGCTACCTGAGGACCCGCGCCTCGGAGAATTCCTCATAACTGTGCATGGAGTCGCTGTAAGATTCCCGGGACCCCAGAGGCGGCGGGCGGACAGAATACTGGTGGACAGAGGCGTTGGGCTGCGACGTGGTGTAATAGGGCGGCGGGATGCTGTTGCTGGTCTCACTGCGGTAGTCACTGTCCCGATCATCCACAGCACTGTCGGGGTCATCGTCTGGAAGAGAGAGCAGGTAAATGGGGAGAGTGAGGAGAGAGAGGGCACACAGGGGGTCAGTGCAGTCCCCAGCCTGGGGGAGTCTTTATTGGCTACTCCCAAGAAGAGAATGCTCCCTGGTAATGCTGGAAGGACGTGGGTCATGTTAATAGAGGCAAAGGCTGAGGAGCAAGGGTCCACTAGACCTAGAGTCTGAGTGTCCTATAATTTGAAGAGGACAGGGATAATCTAGAGGGTGTCCTTCAGCTCAAATGTAAGGATGAACTTTGTCAAAGTCCAGACGCTCTGGAAATTGAGATGGGATTCTCCTTCCCCATCAGGCAGTTGGTTTCCTTAGAGAAGCTACATACTCGGAGGGAGATCAGCAGGAGCAGCTGCCCTTCAGCCCTCGAGATTGCCCGGTGTCTGAGGAGGGCCCCGGGCCTGAACCTGCACCAACCCCCAGGGTTGGAGCTCAGGCCAGCAAGACGGCCTTCCCCGCCCCAGCCCCTGAGTATGGCTGGAATTGAGGCACACACTGGCTTGGCTGGTCTCCGAGTACAAAGAAAACAGTTTATTTTCTGAATTCTAAAGAAAGAGGATTCTAATTTTAAAGCCACACACCCGGGTAGTAGAATAATCAGGATGCAAACATTTTTTTCTCTCTTCTTTTCTGTACCTTCTGGGAAGTCTTTTTTTTTTTTTAAGTAGTTGGACACAATACCTTTATTTTGTTATTTATTTTTAGGTGGTGCTGAGGATCGAACCCAGGGCCTCGCACGTGCTAGGCCAGCGCTCTACTGCTGAGCCACAAGCCCAGCCCCATGGGAAGTCTTGATTTCAATAATGCACAGGTTACTTTTCTAATTTAAAAGAATGATACAGTTATGTTTCTTTTGAAAGTAAAGCAAAATTTAGTTGATGTAGAAAACCAGAAAAGTAGGGGAAAGTGTGGTGTCGGGGGCAAATCCCAGGTCCCAAATCCTTGACCAGTGAGGGGACCTTTAGGCTTTTGCTGCATTAGGAGGGAGATGTGATGTCACCAACAGCATCAAAAATGTGACTGTGGCCGGGTGCGGTGTATCATGCCTGTAATCCCAGCAGCTCAGGAGGCTGAGGCAGGAGGATCTTTAGAGAGACCTGGCTTTAGAGAGACTCCCCTGGATCAAAGAGGATGTGGGGAAGGGGACAGGGCCTCCAGCGGGTGGAGGAAAGGAAGAAATTTTTCTAGAAAGGAAGGACAGGAAGCCATTTCCTAGGGGGAGCGGGTCTGCCTGGGGGGTGTGGCCTCCTTCCCCGGCAGGTGGGGGTGCTGGTGGGCGTGGCCCAGGGAGGTGTCCAGGTGCCCCTGGGCTCAGCCCTGGCGCTGGCCTCCCTCCCTCCCTCCCTCCTGCAGGCCTCTGAGTGAGGGGGTCTCTTTCCAGGAGGAAGACGGGGGACACAGAGGGAGGAGAGGAGATGGATTATACACGGGGACAAGAGGAGAGGGTCCTGGTGCCCAGCGGGCCTCCACCTGTCCAGTCCTCCCTGCCGAGTCCCCGCACCCAATGGCCATGCCTGCGCCCCACCAGACAGAGCGTGACCCCGAGATGGACGGGGCGCGGAGGGCGCAGGAGAGGGTCTTGCCAGCCCTCTGAGCCCCATGTGGCAGCAGCTCCCCATTAGGGGGCGCTGGGTGGGGTACCTGGGGGGTCACCAAGATGCCCGCCTCCCCGTGAGCCTCCATTCGGTCAGGGTTACTTACTCTGTTCACCCCAGCCAAAATAATTCCAGTTGCCTACAAAGAGAAGGGGCAGAGATGATAAAGGGGGGCGGAGGGAGGGGCTCTCCCTGCGTCCTCCCCTCCCCGGGTCCCCCAGGGTCCCCCTCCTGGCTGACATCTGCTTCCTTTGGACCCTCTTCCCTGGCCTCAGCCAGAAAGCAGCAGTGAGGGCATCTGGACCCAGGGCTTGCAGACTCTGAAGTCTGGGGTCAGAGTTCCCCACCTCTTCCCTCCCCCCCGCTCATGGGCAGAAAATCACGTGACCTCGGGAACCCTAAGTTCCCAGACACCCTGTTGGGTGGCTTCCATCATTTGGCTTTTTTTTTTTTTTAATAAGTGAAGAAATGGGCTCAGAGAGGGTCAGTGAGCAGCTCAAAGTCACACAGGCTCTGAGCAACAGGCCAAGGGAATAAAAACCACATTCTCCTTTTATCCGCAATACTGTCACCTCAGAGAAAGTCCCTCTGGAATCCTGGCTCCTCTGGGAAAGAGGGGTGAGGAAACAAGCCCAGAGGAGGCACAGAGTAGATCCAGGCTCCATTTCCCCTATCAGACCCAACCCAAGTCAGTCTGGGAGAGAGGTCCCCTCGCGGTCCCCAGGATCTCCACCCCCGACTCCTTCACCACCCTCCTGGGCACAGGGGGGACACGTGGATATGGGGGAGACCAAGAGGGGAGGAAAGGAGGAGGGAGAGCAGGTGGAAAGGAGAGGAGGTTGAAGAGCTGCAGGGGAGCAGGGGACCCGCCCTAGGGCCACATCATCTGTCCCTTTGTCCCACTCCAGAGGACTGAGGGCTCCGTGGGGCAGGGGACATTGGCTTGGCCAGTGGAGAGGAGGTTCAGAGGACCAAGGGACAGCAGCACCTTTACAGCTCCCGCCCGAGGGAGGGCAGTGGGCGGGGGTCGTCGGGGCCACCGTGGGCAGTCGCCTGGGGTCCTGCAGACCTGGGCCGAGTGAGTCCTAGCTGGCCCAGCGTGGGACCTGGGGCGGGTCCCCTTTCCCATGCCTCCAGGTTCACTTAAGAAAACTGCTCACGAAGGAGCCACAGCCCCAGGAGGCACGTCCTCTGACCGGGTGTTGGCTGCATGGACCCCACCGTCTGACCGCGAGTGGCCTGGGGTCTGGTGGCCCTGTGCCTAGTTTGCCAGATGAGCTGTGGGCCCTTGGCCAGGGCTGATGGGAGCTCAGGTTCTGGGCCCCGACAGCCCGCAGGGTGAGGCCCCTGTCGGATGCCCTGTCCCTACGGGGAGGACCCCAGGGGTCTAGGAGGGACAGGGATGGGCCTGTGACCGTACTGCAGGATGGGACTGGGCCCAAGCCCCCGATCATTTCTCTTCCCCCATCAAGGGACACTGTCCCCCTAGGACTCTTCTGCGGGGGGGGGGGGTCCTCGGGGCAGGGGGAGGCACTCACAGCACTGGCTGCTGGGCACGGGCAGCGGCTTGTCCTGCTCGTCGTGGAAGGAGTACTGCAGAGAGGGACAGGAGGCGCTCAGGGCCAAGAAGGTCCCCAGCCCTGTGTCCCCTCCCGTCGGCCTCCACCCCCTCTGGCTACCTGAGAAAGAGGGGACAGAGCAGGGGAGGGGGCGGGGGGAGGGAGTGGAGCAGATAGGTGCCAAGGAGAGGCTCTGTCCTTGCTGCACGGCGCGTCCCGTCCCCCTGCTTCACAACTGGCACCCGTGTCCCTGTCCCCCACCACCGTGCCCACCCTGCCACTGCAGCTGCATGACGGAGCCCTCTGAACAGACGCAGGGAAGAACAGGCCAGGACTGGGGACAGAGGTGGCGAGGGGAGGGGGAGGAGAGGGGGAGGGGGAGGGGAGGCCGCACCTCGTCCTGGTCCCTCAGGGTGTTCAGCTGCTCCAGCTTCTTGGCCCAGTACCGCGCCTCCTCCTCGGGGATGTCTGCGGGCACAGCGGGCTGAGGCGGCGGGCAGGTGGCCCCAGCTGAGGGCTCCCCGCCCCTGCCGTCTCTCCTCCCGGCAGCCTGAGGCCCCACCGAGGCCCAGCCGGGACCCCCAGACCTGAGCCCCGAGGGTCGGGGGCATCTGCCACTCATAGGTGACGCACAGGGGACAGGACGGTCTCAGGCATGCAGTGGGGACACCTCTGCCAACTCGGTGCCCCCAGGAGACGCCCTTCTGGGGAGGGGACCCGGTCCCCAGCGGGCAGGGCTGGCTGGGCCCAGCTGGACCCGGCCACTCCCCTGGACTGGGGGCAGGGGGAAGCCGGGACTCACCCAGGGGCAGCTCGAAGCGCGTGTCCAGCAGGATGCGGTGGAACGTGGGGTCCTTGGTGCCGCAGATTTCGCTGTCGGCCATGATCACCTGGGAGTCCAGCGTCAGCCACTCTCCAGGGCCCTCCTGGGGTCGTGGGAGGGTGACAGGGGCCAAGGGGATTAGGATTAGGGTTAGGGTTAGGGGTTAGGGTTAGGGTTAGGGGTTAGGGTTAGGGTTAGCGAAGGGGATCGTGTCCCCAGCAGGCACCCCTCACCCCATATCACCCCCACCCGGAGGGCAAGGGTCCCGTCCCCACTTTATAGTGAGGAAACTGACCCTCAGAAAGGGAAGGTCTCAGCCCAGAGCCTGTGGCAGGTCAGGGAAACTCGGAGGCGAGGACCCGGAGAGCAGGCAGGCGCTGGTGTAGCTTTGTCACGAGGGGTTTGGGGACTCTGGCTTCACACTCCTCCCACCACCCAAGGAGGAAACGCCCAAAGAGAATGAGCCTGTTCCCTGATGATTCAGGGACATGGGCCCTGTGAGCAAGGGGGTCCACTCTGAACCTCAGTGTTTTCATCTCTTAAATGAGAACAGTCTCCTGTGGAGTCCTCTGACTGCTGCCCGCATGACCAGGCCCCCCTCACACTTGGGGGGCCACTCGAGGCCTCTTTTGAGGCTCATTTCCTTGAACTGTCACATTCATTTCCTCCCTTGTCCTGGTTCATTCAATCATCGACTCAAAACCAAATGCTCCCTGGAGCCACCTCTGTGCCAGCTTCATGCTGAGTGACGCCAGGGTCCCCAAGGGCCCCAGGCATCAGTCTGGCTCCTGAAGAGCTCACAGTCCTGGGAAGCAACACTGGGCCCCTGAGGTCAGGGCCAGGCCTGAGGGATCCAGGGACGTTGGCCAGGGCTTCAGGAGGGGGAGGAGTGAGCTCCGAGGGGAGTGGAAGGGAGGGGGCTGGGGCCCAGGAACAGCATCTGCAAAGACTCAGAGGCCAGGATCTGCACAGTGAGCAGGCCGGGCCGAGGGCCTCCCAAGGGACAGGGCGGGGACAGCTCAGAGCTCCAGGCCGCAAGATCCTGCAGCGGTCAGCACAGAGTGGGTAAGAATCAGATCGGGAGGCCCCGAGGGGAGGCCAGAACTGAACTGTGGGGACAGGGAGGTCACCAGAGTGGTCCCCACCCTCTGGTGTGGTGTGAGGGCGGAGGTGTTGGGCTTCTGTCTACACTGTCCTCTGGCTGGTGTCATCCTGCTGCCCTCCCGGGGCGCAGAACACTAGCTGCCCACATCCCCCTCCTTCTTCCATAGAAATCTATTTTTAGCTGTGATGGGGGCATGGCTTAAGACTACATTTCCCAGAATTCATTGAAGCCATGTGGAACCACAGTTCAGTTTTGGCCAATGGGATGTATTTAAAATGCTGGGAGCAGCCTCCAGGTTGGGCCTTAACTGAGCAGGTGAGCACTCCCCTTTACTACCTTTCCTTGGCTGGAATGAAAATGCAATGATGAGCCTCAAACAGCCACTTTGGACCATGAGGTAGAAGTCATATGGGAGAGCAACAAGTTGAAGGAACTTGGGTCCCAGTGGCTCTAACTGTCTTAACAACCCCAAAGGTATACAAAGATGTTGTCAGGGGGCCACAAGCCTCTGGGCACTCCTCCTTCCCCACCTTCAGCCCACCCACCACTCACCTCATTGGACTGTCGGATGGTCCTCAGTGGGATCCACACAGTGCCCACCATTGTGTCCCAGATGAGACCCTTGTTCCACACCTCCACAGTCAGTCCTAAATCCAGGCGGTTAATCTCACTGTGGAAAGGGGAGACGGGGTATCAGGGGAGCAGGGGGGAGAGCATGGGAGCTCAGAGAGGTTAGTTCGTTTGCCTGAGGATGCACAGCATGCTGCAATTTAACCCCCCTAGCTGGATGGCAAGAGGGGAAACTGAGGCCAGAGGTGGGAACTGACTGGCTTTGAGTACCACAGAAGCCAGCCAGGAGGGAAGGAGCGGGGACACATGTCACATGTCTCCCACGCCTGTCTTCTGAGCCCTGCTGGAGCCTTCGACCCTGATGATGCTGAAACCCCGCCCTGGCCCCACTGTACCCCGATAACAGCATCTGGGTGTCTCCAGCCTTGCAGTGTCACCTCTGCTCAACCAGGTGGGGACGCTCCTGAGCACATGAACACGTGCACTTTCCTGCCCTTTCCCTGAGGGTTCACCCTAGAAATGGGCCAATTCAGGGACTGCCTGCCCCTCCCCCGGCACACCATCCCCCACCAACCCACCCCTCTGCTTCAGGGTCCTCAGTGCCCAGCCTCTCCTGACTCCTGCCTGCGGCTGACACTTCACCGTCAGGCTCTGCTGGGGCATAGCCTGGGGGTGGAGAGTGGCCTGGGACCAAACCCCAGCTGTGACACAAACGTGCTGTGTGACACTAACGTGCTGTGTGACACTGAGCAGTGGCTCTACTTCTCTGGGCCTCCATTTCATCATCTGTAAAATGGGGATTGCAGGGGCAGCTCCCCTCCCAGGGCTGTAGGTGTAGCTGATTTAGTTCAAGAAGCCTCTGAGCAGGGCACAGACCGCGGCTGTCACCCGAGGAGACTGGGCGAAGGTGGTTTTGCAAACGGGGCACTGGGTGGCCCTAGACCCTGGGCTGATCCGGGCCGTTAATTCATTTCCTTATCAAATAGTTGTTGAGTACCTACTGTGTGCCAACTCCTGTGACATGGGGGTCACAGTGGGGACAGAAATCAACCCTGTCCCACCCTCCTGGAGCTCCTGGTCTAGCAGCAGTGGCCAGAAATGAACAACTCATAGAAATGACTAGAATATCCATTGGAGGGGAAGCTATGGGGCTCTGACAGTGGTTTTTGGAAGCAGAATGGGGGGGGGGGGCTTCCCTGGAGGGGACACGAGCTGAGATCCAAAGGACAGGCTGCTGCTTGGGGCGAGGGGAGGAACGCAAGTGCTAAGGCCCTGGGGTAGGACCAACCTGGGCTGTGGGAACCTGTGGCTGGGGCCGGTGAGGAGGAGAAGATGGAGAGGTGCTGGCGGGGACAGCGGGCAGGAGTGTGGCTTTATTCTGAGGTCGACAAGCTACGGACACGTTTGGAACAGAGGAGTGACAGGATGTGATTTACAGTTTTAAAAATATCCCCCTGGCTGCCTGGAGCAGAGCAGATTGTGGGGGGCGGGCCGCAGCGGGAGGCCGGGGGCCGGAGGCCGGGACTTGGCCGGTGGCTGCTGAGATAAAGGGAAGCGGTTGGATTCTGGAGGCGCTTTGGGAAAGGGCCGGCGGGGCAGGGAGGGACAGGCCACTCGGCTCCCTGGCGGTGCCAGGCACTGCCCCAGGTGGCGGCGACGCGGGCAGGGGCGTGGCTGAGCTCGACGCGCAGACTCACAACATGAAGTCCTGCTCCCAGCTGGGCTGGCTGCCGCGCACCGCGATGGTCGTGCTCTTGACATTCTGCACCTTCAGGGTCACGTACGTGTTGAATTTCTCTGTGGCGGTGACAGCAGAGTCAGCGACACAGTTCAGGGACTGCACTGCCCGCTCCCGAGTTCTGGGTCCCCGAGGTGACCCGAAGGGGCTCCTGCCCGGCCAGCCCTCCCCACGCCAGGCCCCCAGGCGACAAGCCGGGCTGGGGAGGGGACACCTGAGATGGGGAGACCTGGAATCTGGGGCCTCACCCAGCTGCCTAGAAATGACCAGCTCTGGGGCTGGGGGCGTGGCCGGCTGGTGAAGCCCCTGCTGGCCTGAAGTCCCCAGGTCCGGCCCCGGGAACATGGGTTCCCTCTTGAGACCATGCCTTTGGTTTTGGCTGGGAAGACCAGGGTCCCAGAAAAGGGACAAAACTGACCGTGAGAAACTCCCTTTGGGGCTGGGGCTGGGGCTCAGTGGCAGAGGGCCTGCCTGGCACGGGAGAGGCACTGGGTTGGGTCCTCAGCACCACATACAAATAAATAAAATAAAGGCGTGGGGCCATCTACAACTACAAAAAAGATTTTATTCTAAATAGAAAGAAAGAAAAAAAAAAACTCCCTTTGGTTTTTGCTTTTCTGGACCTCGGTATCCTCATCTGTAGCAGGTCTATCCCTGCCCGGCTTCCCGAGACCCCCTGGGAAGCCAAGGCCCGGAGTGAGCCCCACTGGCCTGGGCTAGGGGGGTGGAAGGTGGGGACACGGTGGAAACAGGGCCATCCCAGGCCAAGGTCCCCCTCCCAGCTCCACCCTCCCACGCCCCTCCTCCCTGCGCAGAAACCAAGTCTGAGTCTGGATGCAAAGCCAGACAGCCTCCCAGCCTCTCCAGAGACAGACAGACAGACAGGGCAGGGGAGCGGCGCTTACCTTGGGCACCATCAAACTTGGCTTTTTTGACTGTGGAGAGAGACAGAGAGGGAGGAGAGGAGGGGGGATGTGGAGGGGACACAGACGAACAGACATCCAAGCCAGAGCCACAGACGCAGAGGAGAGACACAGAGACACAGAGAGTCACAGACACCAAGAGACACGGGAGAAAGCCACAGCCAACCAAACGAATGAAAGAGGCAAAGCCAGGGACAGCAACAAGGAGGATGAAGGAGGCAGGGGAGAGAGAGAGAGAGAGAGAGGTCATCAGACAGATGAGTACAGGCAGACCTAGGGTGGGAGGAAACTGGACCACGGGAGCAGTCCCCACAGTCCCCCACCTCCCACAGCCTCAGCCCTCCTGGAGTTGAGCCTTCATCTGCAATGGAGCAAGAGACCTAAGAAGGAACGGGGCAGGTGACAATAGAAGCCTCCTCCAGGAAGCCCTCCAGGATTGATTGCCTCTGAGCAGTGTGGAAGGGGTGGGTGTGAGGACGGCTGCAGCCCAGGGGCCCTCGAGGTCCAGGTGCCACTGGTTTACAGGACGGGAACTTCCCTTGACAGCGTCTTGGCCCCTCCCGAACCTGCTCCCGGAGGGACCTCAGTCCCTCTTCCCTTCTCCCTTTCACCGCCCCCTCCTTTCCCAATTCACGTCTTCATCTGGGTCCACAGCACCTGGACCAAACCGGAGCAATCGAGGGACTCTGCCTGGAGAAGGAGTTCTTCCCCTGCCCCCCGCCCCAGGGAACCTGGGTCCTCTGACCCCAGAGATGGTGGTGCACCCCCTTCTCACCGCCCACCCTCTGTTCTGCGCCCTCGGGTTTCCCCTGTCCCTCTGCCTCCTGGGTTTGTATTTATTTATTTATTTATTTATTTGGGGATTGAACCCAGGGGCACCAAGTCACACTGAGCCACCTCCCCAGCCTCTTTTTATATTTTATTTAGAGACAGGGTCTCGCTGAGTGGCTTAGAACTCGCTTGGAACTCGCACCCTCCTGCCTCAGCTGCGCCCAGCTTTCCGAGACTCTGCGTGGAAGCCGTGGAACAAGGAATTCCTAGAAACAGGACCGTGTAGGGACAGGTGCCACAGCCTCTTGGGTTTGTATCTCTGTCCCCATCACTTGAGTTTCTGCCTTGCAAAACGCTTGACTGGAGCCAGGGAACACAGGAGTCCATCCAGGGTGGGAGCCGGTGGCTCTGACACGGGATGGTGACTGTGGTCGGGTCCCTTGCAGCAGAGGAGTCAGCAATGAGAGGGCGCTTTCCTAAGCCAGCGCCAACCTCCTCACCCCAAAGGCCCAGACTTTAAACGCAAATGATGGGGCATCACACCCGGCACACTTGAGTTTGGCCTTGGCAGGTAGAGTGTGGATGGAGCCCTTGACTGGGCGTTGGGACAGGTGAGCACTGGCTCTGCTGGGAGTCAAACAGAGCTGGTTCAGATTCAGTGCTGTGTGACCCTGGGCTAGTGAATCCCCCTTTCTGGGCCTCCATCTTTGTCTTACTCTCCCTCCCTGCTTTTCTAGATCTGGTTCTCTCCCTCTTTCTCTCTCCCCTGTACGGATTTCCTGTCCTCATCTCTGTTTCTTTCCCCCACACCTGAAATCAGTATCAGTCCCTGTGTCCTCACTTTTCTGCTCAAGGCACATGGCTGCATGGAGTTAAGGGCCCTGTCTTGCCTGCTCAATCAGTCCCTGTCCCACTGCCCTGTGGAATCCTTGTCACCCAGCTCCCAGGGAGCTCTCCTACCAGTCGCCCCAGCCTGGGGCTATACCCAGCCTGGCCCAGGCCTCCTGGGGGGGGGGCACACCTGGGAGGCTCTGGCAAAGGTGGGCAGCCGCGGGGCGCGGGAGGGAGGCACCCAGATTGAGGCTGGGAAAGGCACCTACAGGGCAGAGGGAGACTAGGAGAGAAGGGGAAGGGGGAGCAGGAGGGGAGGAGGAGGACTGAACAGCAGGCGGGAACCCTCAGGTCACTGTTGGGGGCAGGCTGGGGAGGTGCCGGGCGGGGTGGGGGAGGGGTGCGTTGGGGGCACCTGGAGGGGCAAGCTGTGCCCGGCGCTGGGGGAATCCAGGGGGCCCCTGGGCTCCTTGGACAATGCCCGCTTTGCAGACCATGGGCCAGGCTCAGGGCAGCCCTGAAGCCTTCTGGCGTGCGTCTGTCTCCCTCCCTGTGTCTTTCCTCCCAGAGGCTCTCGCCGGTCTCCCACCAAGTCACTCATGTCTCCCTGCTCTATTCTTTCCACCCTGTCACTTGTTCCTCCTCCCGGTCTCTCTGGTCCCCTCTTCCTCCCTCTGGCTCTCAGCTCCCTGCAACCCCAGCCGGCCACTCCCCGCAGGCTGTCCGGACGGAGGGTGCGGGGCTCAGGAGGGCCTCAGGCCGTGGGGACTTGCTGGAGGGCTCTGTCCTGCTGGCTGAGGCCAGCTCGCGCCCTCAGCCCCTGCAGAAGGACCGGGCAAGGACATCAATATTTGCTCATCCTTCAGGAGGCTCAGCGGGGAAGGAGGAAGCTCGGCGGGGAAAAGGGTCTCAGAGAAAAGGGAAAACCAAAAGCCGCCCAGGCTGGGGACAGGGGTCTCGGAGGGTAAAGGAGGGTCTTAAGAAGGCTGCGGGGCTTGGGGGGGGGGGGCGGTCTCGGGCGGGGCTTAGGGAGGGTGGTCTCGGGGCGGGGCTTAGGGAAGGTGGTTTCGGGGCGGGGCTTAGGGAGGGTGGTCTCGGGGCGGGGCTTAGGGAGGGTGGTCTCGGGGTGGTCAGGGGTAAGGGGCAGGAGGGAGGGGTGGTCTGAGTGAGGAGGGGCTTGGAGGAAGGTGGCGGGGGCGCTCAGAGGGGGACCAAGGGGCTGGAGAAGGAACGGATTCGGCTGGTGTCTTTCCCGGCCGGCGCATGCTCTCCCTCCCGCCACCTTCACGCCGCGCCAGTTGCTGGATGAGGGTCAGCGGGGCGGAAGCGCCAGCCCTCCCCAGCGGGCTCCGAGTCACAAGCGGGCACAAGGCTATTTATAACGTGGGCGCGGAGGGCGTGAGCGACGCGACGGCGGGGAGGTGGCGGGAGCGGCCCTGGCGGGGGAGGGGGGGCGCGGGCGCTGTCGCCTGGCGGGTGTCGGGTGGGTGGAGACACCGCGTCACGCGCAGCCAGTGGCCTGCGCGGCCTCGGATGTCTCTGGGGCCCCATCAGCCGGGACTGATGAATGTGGTTACAGAACCTGGGGAGGCTGGAGCGGGGGTTCAGGCTGCGGGATCCCCATGGGCACTGCGGGGCTCGAGGCCTCAGTTTCTGCATCTGGGAAATGGGGAGAGGTCAAACTGGGTGGTTTTGATCCCCTCTTCCTCCCTCTCCCCCTTCTGCCTTGTCATTATTATAGTATCATTAATAATAATAATTAATAATAGTATCAACACATTATTATTAGGACTAGTATCATGACTATTTTTATTATTTGGTTGATTTCTCAGCGTGCCCTTGGCTAAGATTCTAGGATCCTGAATTCTAACTGAAGGGGCCTCCAGTCTTGGGGCACTTGTGACCTGCCAGATGAGGGGGGCAGTGTGAAGGGAAGGGGGAGGGGAACCCAGCCATCAAGGAGAGATCTGAAAGCCCACTCCCCTGATGTGCTCACTGAGTGTCAGAATATACACAGTGCAAGGCCACCATATCAAAGGGTGGCTTTGGCATGGGGGTGGGGAACATAGAAAATCCAGAAATAGATTCCAGGATATTTGACGGTTTCCCGTGTGATGCTGCTGGCAGACACTTCAGCGGGAGACGGATGAGCTCTATGATATAGGGCGTTGACCCTGCGGGTTTTGCAGGGGGCAGAGAATAATCGAGGACTCTCAAAGACTCTAGTGGAGGAAATAAGCTGGAGGCAGACTGAAGCCTTCTGTGTGAAAAACAAACATGCCAAGAACCCAAGGATCAGTGATCCTGTGCTGCTTACCACAGACCACTAATAATTAGGCCCAGTGTATACAGTTGTAGTTGCTCAATAAATAACGATTCCCTAAAGGCTTGACTTCCTTTCCTCCTACGGTTGACTTGCGCTAAGACTAACCCTGCGGTGCAATTGGACGCTGTCCGTGGTTCTGAACCCTCCATCCCTGCTCTTGTATCCCTGATGAACTTGGCTTCCATTGTCCTGCTCAAGAGCTGAAGACCCCTCTTGGAGCTCTCCTCGGGCCTACACAGAGTGCCCTACACTGATGGACCTCCTTCCCGAAAGTTCTTAGGCTCCATTAATAAAAATACCATCACTGATTTTCCATTTCTTTGGCTCACACTTATTGGGCCTTCCCATAGGCCAGGCATCATGCCAAAGGGCCCTGCCTCCTCTCCTTAGAGCATCCTGGCAAACCCAGATGGCACTGGCGCTATTGGTGTGCCCATTCTACAGATGGGCATGCTGAGGAATGAAGAGCATGTGGGATTTGCAGAGAGTGATGAATGCAGGATTCAAACCCAGACCTGCCCAAGACAGAATGCCCTCGTTAGCGCCTCACAGGGTGAGAGGAAAGACCCAGATACAGATGCCCCCTGCTGGGTGACATCACAGATGGGGCAGCCCAGGAGAGTGATCTGTAAAGTCTTCCTGGGAGAGAGGAGGAAAATAGCCATTATGAATGAGGAGGTGGTGACGTGCCAGTTTACTGAGTGGATACGGGAAGAAGGCAATCAGGACAGACTCTCACCCATGGAGGGAACTTGGCTGTCTCCCAGGTTCTGAGGCTGAGAGGAGGCTCAACGGCCTTCCCTTGCCCACAACAGGCTCGGGAGTCGTTAGTTTCACCTCTGGCTCTGTGGCAGTAGACAAGGTGCTAGACCTCTCTGAGCCTCAGTTTTGCTCATCTGCAAAATGGGGCTGCTCTGAGGATTCAAGACGGCAGTGGGCACAAAAATCCTCGAAACCGTGCCTGCAGCATGCTGGATGGGTGGGACTTGTGGATGTTATTATTGGTCGTGAGGCAAATTTTTTCCTCGCACACATTCACTGATTTGTTTGCCTTATTCGCCCATCAAATATTTATGGACCCTTTAAAACCTGATGGTCTATGCAAAATGCCGCGAGCACAGGAAAGCCTGGAATTGATCCTGACCGCCGCGCCTTGGACCATGCTGTTCCTTTGCCTGGACCACTGTCTTCCCTCTGATTATCTTTCCCCTCATCTTCTGACACTCAGGCAAATGGCAGGGGTGGGGTTCAAGGCAGGCTTCTAGAGGAAGAGTGTCCTGGACCCCTCCCCCGCTCCTCAGCCTTTCCCCATTTCTTTTACCCTAACACAATTAGGAGAGTGGCCAGGGGTAGGACTGGGTCCCCAGAACCAAGAACAGTGCCTGGTACACAGCAGGTGCTCAATGACTGCTTATCATGTAAATATGAGCAACTTCATAAAGGAACCAGGTGCATTTACCATTGGCAACCTCAGGACACTGCCAACAGCTGGCAGGCCGATTAAGAGGAGGCCATGTGTTTCCACACAGGTAAGGAAGCAGGAGCCCAGAGCCTCTGGGGCCTCTGCAGACGGGTTCCCGTTTGCTGGCTTGGGGGGCACGCTTGAGCACTTGCATCGGCCTGTTTGCTTGGGTGTCTGCAGGGAGGAGTTCACTTGCATAACCAGGGCAGGCGGATGTGTGTGCATGTATAGAGGGACATGGGACTGTTTGTGTGCAGGTGAGGGTCTGCACATATGTGCCTAGAGATGAAGATGTACTGGCATGTGCAATCTTGTGGACAATGAGTTAGTAGCACACACATGTTGGCACATGTGTGCATGCCATGCAGTTCCATGACCCATGTATTTGTGTATTTGCATACACACACACTCATGTGTACCTGTGTACCTAAGTGAGTGTATGCAACATCCTTCGTCCATTCAAAAAGACTGCTTCGAATGTCGGAGCAAGCATTGTCCTGTGTGTATACATATGGTCTTTGTATGTGCTTATGCGTATATAAGTTACTTCATGAGACTTGGTACCTTAACGGGTGCATGTCTGGGTGTGAGGTGGTGAGGAGATCTTGTGTATTCTGCACACACATCAACTTTGTATGGATACTTCAGCTGTGCACCCGCAGACACACCCATCTGTATTTCAGGGACTTTGGCTTAGTGCACAGCAGCAAGCCTGGTGGGAATGTGTGTAGGGGGTGAGGAGGGGCAGGTGCTCCAACTCCAGAGATGAGCTCACACCCCAGGGCCACCCCTCCCAGCCTAGTTTCCCTCCCGCCCGGCCCACCTCACAGCCCCACTCTCCCCACCATCCTCCTGGCCCACCCCTCACCACGGGGCTTTACCCCCCTCCAGCTCTTACCGCCCCCCCCTTCCTGCTCCAGGGCCCAGGCTCCCCCTCCTCACCAGGTCTCCCTGCCCCCCACCGCAGCCCCAGCCTCGCCCCGCCCATCAGCCCTCCACTCTGCCCGGGACTCCTTCCCACAAAGTCCACAGAATCCAGCACAGTCCTGCCCCGGGCCTCCCTTTCTGGAAGCCTCCTCCCTCTTACTGCACACCCCCCCACACACCACCCCCGCAGCCGAGCCTCCTGTTTGCGTCAGAGCTGAGCGTGAGATCCCGCCCCCTGCACTAGGCGGGCCTTCCCCAGGAGCCCTGCGAGGGGTGTGGGGGCGGGGCGGGGGCCAGGGAGAGGACGGGGGCCAGCAGGAGCACCCCACGGCCCCCGGCTCCGGCGCCGCTTCCTGGAGTGCCAGGCAACTCGAGAAAGAAAGAGCCAGCTGGCTCTGACACCCAACCTCCCCTCCATCCTTCCTCAGGCGTAACCGTGGGGATAGCACGGGGGTCCCCTGGATTTCCCGACAACACTGGCTCCACAGGCCTGGAGGTCAGGGGCTCGAGGTGTTGACCTTTGACATTAGGGACCCTTCTCCCACCACCCCCAGCCTCGTCAGACCGAAATAAGCTCAGAGAAAGGGGGCTCCTGTCCCTTTAAGAACACCCGCGTCCACGCCGCCGGCCCGACCCTATTTGCACACGGGAAGCCGCGGCGGGGAGCGGGCGGGCGGGGCTGGGTTTGTGAATGGAGCGGCGGGGGGCGGGGCGGGGGCGGGGCGGGGGCGGGGCCCGGCTCGGGCCTGCCCACCCGGGTCCAGGCGGCCGCTGGAGTTCGGCACGCACGCGCGCGCTCGTACACACGCGCGCGCACACACTCTCACACTCCCCGCCGCCCAAGGTCTCCCGAAGCCTGGCCTCTCACCCTCGGTCGACACCCTCCTTCCACCACCGCAGTCTTCATGAAGTGGGCGCGGGGAGCCGCGAACCCCAGTCCTTAAAAGCCAGGGTTCAGAATCCTGTGGGCCTCGAGCCCACCCACCGCCAGCCCGCTCCCCGCCCAAGGTCTCCCAGAGCCTGAGTTCTCTGCGGGAGTGCCTCGGACGCCCGGGCCCTGGTGAGCTGGCCTCTCCCAACCCTAGGCTCAAAGGGGTGTTGGGGGGTCGTGCGTCTCCCACGTTCCTCTCCCTCCCCCCACCCCAACGCAGAGCGTGGGCCTGGGCGTGGGCCTCAGTGCAGATGGCGCTCTGGCCCCAAAATAGCTCCCCCTTCCCTCCCTGCAGCCCAAAGTGGGTGAGGTGAGGATGGACCCACAGGGGTCGGGGTCGAGGGCGGGGGGTCGTGCGGGGGTCACTGCTCTTCCAAAAGGGTCTGCTCCCTACCGAGAAGGCTGGGTACGTCTTCAGGGGGTCTGGAGGGGGCGGGGAAAGTCCCTCCCGCTGTCCTCCCAGTCCCCATCTGGGAGGCCAAAGAGTTCCTGGGAGAAGCAGCCCCACACCCCCGGACGCTGGGGGTCTCCCTGGCCCCCTCCCCCTAGTCCTCTTCCCCCTCTTCTAGGGGGTCCTAGAACTCTCCGCCGTCCTGAGGGCCAAGACGCCCGCCCACCCAGACCTTCCATTTCCGGGGCTTGGAGACCCGCGCCCCTTCGAATGCCCAGCCGGGTCCGCGTCCCCGAGGGTCCACAGCCCAGCGCACAGGACGGGACTCCTTCCGAGTGCCCCGCAGGAGTCAGACTACCCAGCCAGCCCGCTCCACACGGACCCCTACACCAACAACCCGGTCTACACCGTCGCCCGAGTCTGGACCGCTTCGGGACAGAACCCGAGATCCCCACCCGCGTCCACACGACCCCCAACAGAGGCGATCGGGGACCCCCGAAGAACCGAGCCGTGTCTACACGGGTCACCCCCCGAGGCGGCCTGCCGCAGCGCCCAGCGCTCGCCCCTCGGCGATCCGGCCGCGTGTGCTCAGGTCACCCCCGGAGGAGCCCAGCCGCATCCACGCGGACCCCGGGAGCAGCCCGCGCCCGCACGGGTGCCGACCCGCAGCCTCCCGCCTACCTCCAACGCAGAGCAGGGACATGGCTCCGGAGTCGCCGGCGGGCCGGGGGCGGCCAGGCCGGCTCGGTGGGGTCGGGCTCAGCGGCCGCCGGCTCCGTGCATCTCGCGGCTGCAGCCCGCGCTCTGCTCACGCCCGGGCCCGGCCGCCGCCAGCCATCTTGGTTCAGCACCGGGGGGCGGACAGCTCCTGACGTGGCGCCGGCGCGCGGCGGGCGGGGCCGGAACGCCTGATGGGGCGGGGGCGCCGCAGCCTGGGGGTGCATTAAAGAGCCCCGCGTGGAGCCCCGGATCCCCGCCTCCAGGCCTCCCCCGCACGGGGACTGGGCGGCCCCCACGCGTGTCGCCTGCCGGCTCTGCCCGGAGGATCTCCGCTCCTCGGGCTCTGGGTCTCCGTCTCTCCAATTACTCTCTTCCCCGCTTTCTGCTCCCGTTCTCTCCAGGCCTTTCTTAATCATGTCTTCCTTTGAGCCCCTCTCTGTTCCTTTTCTGTGCTCTGTTAGGTCCCATCTAGGTCTCAATGACCCGTTTCTCAATGACCCATCCTTCTTTCCCTGTATAACTAGAAATCTATTCATCCGCCAATGCCCACTCCTCCTCCTCCGGGAAGCCTTCCTTGACTTCCCTTGCACTGACCTCTCTGGGTCCCCAGCTCCCAGCCCTTCCTCTAGTTGGGCCCTGATTCGAACTCCTCTGCACGCACCTAGCTGGGAGCCTCCATAAGGCCCTTACCCTACAAACCTGTCCACGTGTGTGCCAGTGTCTGGAATGGCACCAGAGGCCGAGCCCCACAGGGCAGCCCGTCCCCGACACACAGGAAAGACCTTCATAAATGCAGAATGTGCACGGAGTTCACTGTGGGGGAGGCCTGTGTTTAAAACCCAGCTCTGCCTCTAGTCGCCAGCATGGTCCTGGCCAAGTCACATGACTTCTCTGTGCCTCAGTTTCCCTGTGAAGGGGATGACAACAGACCCGCCTCTCAGGTGGCAGGAGCTGTCATAGGAGTGAACACCTGAAGGCGCTGGGCACTGTAGTCTCCTGTTAGCCACACTACATCTCTCTGTGCTTTCAGAATGTTAATTAACTCTCAACTAGATGTGCATAGGAGAGGGATGAGCAGTAGAGCCACAGGCTTGGGTAAAAAGCATCACCACACAGTGGGAGGCTCCGAGGTGCCTCCCCAGTCTCATCCCTCAGGTAAGAAAGGAGAATTTTCCCCAATTTTTTCACTTACATGCGTTTCCTTACACATGCTTGACAGCAAACGTTTGAATTTTGATTATTTATGACCTTTATGTAGCTGACACAAATGTTCACATTCTTTACCAACCTGTTTTGTTTGCTCAACATAATTCTGCTGATGTTCCTCTGTATCAATGCTGGCTGTGATGCAGTCCTTTTACACTGCTGTATAATATTCCTTTAATGAGTACAACAGTAGTAATTGACCTATTTTTTTTTCACTTAGTGGGTCTTTGGGTTGTTTTAAATTTGGATTTATTGCAAAGACACACACACACACACACACACACACACACAGATTGATGACCATGCTCAGTATTGTGTGCTGGTTCACATGGATGACAATGGCTAAGTCATAAAACACATGTATGCTCACTTTCACTGGATAATGTAAAAACAATTTTATAGTGACTCCAGCAATTTTCATCATACTCACATCAAAGAGGTGATGCTGGGTGCAGTGGCACATGCCTGTAATCCTAGCAGCTGGGGAGGCTGAGGCAAGAGGATTGCAATTCAAAGCCACCCTCAGCAAAGGCAAGACCCTAAGCAACTCAGTGAGACCCTGTCTCTTAATAAAATACAAAACATGGATGGGGATATGGCTCAGTGGTCAAGTGTCCCTGAGTTCAATCTCTGGTACCAAAAATAAATAAATAAATAAATAAATAAGGGCTGAGTGGTTGAGTGACTCTGAGTTTAATCCCCAGTACCAAGGTGGGGGGGGGAGCATCAGTGGCTGCATTTCCTTGCTAATGTTTGAATTGCCAGGATTTGGGGTCGCACCCATGCAGAGGGTTGCAGTGGATTCCTCTCTGATTGCTCATGCAGCTGAACTTGTATGTGATGGCTGGCTGCTTCTTCAGGTGAGATGCCTGTTCAAGCCTTTCATTCATTTCTAAAACTTTGACTGTTTATCTTTTCCTGTTGAATTGTAAGAGTTTTTCTTATTAGTTATGAATCCTTTGTTGTTTCATGTGTTGTAAACTCTCTAATTTTGTGCCTTGTCTTTGCTATTTATTGCATCATTTTCTCAACAGAATCTCTCTTGATTTTTTTTTTTTTTTTGTACCAGGGATTGAACCCAGGGGCACTCAACCACTGAGCCATGTCCCCAGCCCCTTTTTATTTTTTATTTTGAGACGGTGTCTCACTGAGTTGCTTAGGGCCTTGCTAAGTTGCTGAGGCTGGCTTTGAACTTGTGATCCTCCTGCCTCAGCCTCCTGAGCTCTGGGATTACAGGTGTGTGCCACCATGCCCAGCAGAATCTCTTAATTTTCTTTTTTAAAAATCATATTCTATTTTTTAGTCATAGATGGACTCAATATCTTTATTTTTATGTGGTGCTGAGGATCGAACCCAGGGCCTCACACATGCTAGGTGAGCCCTCTACCGCTGAGCCACATCCCCAGCCCCTGAATCTCTTAATTTTCTAAAAAAAAAATTTATGAAAAAATGTAAATACTATGATAGAGGCACAGAGCTGCCAAAGCTGTTGGGCACCTTAGCCTCCACCCAATTAACATGTAACAAATGGCTACAGGGTGCAGATGTCAAAACTAAAACAGTCTCACTGGTGCTCATTAGCAAATAAATTGCAGGTTTTATTTTGATTTCACTGGGGCTTCCCACCAGTGTTCTCCTTCTGCCCCAGGAACCCCCCACTGCATTCGGTCATCTTGTGTCCTTGGCCTCCTCTGATCTGCGACATTTTCTTAGTCTTACACACACACACACACACACACACACACACACACACACACACACGGGTGTTTGGTTGTAGATGAACACAGTATCTTTGGTTTTTTAAATTTATTTTTATGTGGTGCTGAGGATCAAACCCAGTGTCTCACATGTGCTAGGTCAGCACTCTGCCACTGAGCCACCACCCCAGACTCTTCCTAGTCTTTCATACATGGCATTGACCTTGACAGATTGGGGGCAGGCTGGTCAGTTATTTCATAGGAAGTTCCTCAACTGGAGTTTGTGTGATGTTTCCTTAAGATTAGGTGCAGTTTTGAGGGAAAACCCGAAACGGGGGTGGGGGTGTGGGGGGACACCTTCTCCATTACATCATACCAGCTGTGCCAAATGCCCCATGACATCATCAGTGATGTGAGCCTTGGGGACCTGGTTAAGGTGGCGACTGCAGGTTTACCCACTGTGACGTTGTAGTTTCCCTTTTCTTACTGTATTATTTGGGGGGGGTTGTATCTGGAAGGTGGTGTGTCTACAAAGCCCTTAATTTTAAGTTCTTTTTTTTTTAAACTGTCATAAAATCCACATTACAGCTGCGAGGGATGGCCCACGCCTGTCATCCCAGGGGCATGGGAGGTTGAGGCAGGAGGATCGTGAGTTCAAAACCAGGCTCAGCAACAGCGAGCCCTAAACAATTCAGTGAGACCCTGTCTCTAAGTAAAATAGGAAATAGTGCTGGGATGTGGCTCAGTGGTCGAGTGCCCCTGAGTTCAATCCTTGGTGCCCAAACCAACCAACCAACCAACCAACCCAACCACATGACCTCATTTACCATTTTAAAATTTACAACTCAGCAGTGCTCGGCACATTCACAGAGTCCCAACCACCACTTCTATCTAGTTCCAGAACCTCTGCATCACCCCAAGGCCACGCCTCCCCATTAGCAGCTGCTCCCCTTCCCCTCCCCCAGCCCCCTCAGTCACTCAATCTGGTCTGTCAGGATTTCATTCCAGATTCTTCCGCCTTTGCCGTGGGCACACTGTCTTGTTCAAGGACTCCTTCCCTGCCCAGGTATCCTAAAGGTCCTCTCAGTGTCTTCTGGGTGACCGGCTGTGTGGCGCAGTGGACAGCGCCCTGGAATTGCCACACCTGCAGAGGCCGTTCCCAGCGTGTCCTGTATGGCTGGGCTCTTGTCCTCCGCGGTCAAGTCCCGGCTTCTCTGGGAACTGATGTCAAGAGAGTGAAGTGAGGTCGGATCCAATAAGGGTGATCCACCCTCCCAGTGCCCTTTAACCGAAAGTGTCCCAAGGCAAGTTCTCATGCCTGGGTGCAGTTCTCAGGGAGAGCGATGAATTCGGACGCTGCACCGGGTCCCTCCTAGCTGGGGGTCTGTTCTGGGCTCTCTTCTACCCCAGTGGCCATCAGTTCTCAAATGGGTCCTTCATCTCTACCAGCTTCCATCTTGTCCCGGGTCAGGACCTCTGAGTTAGTCTTTGCCTGTATCTCAGCTGGTTGGAGTCTGTGGGAAAAGACGAGCACAGGCCAGTGGGGACCTTGACCGCAGTGAACCCACAGACAAATCAGAGCGTCAGTGTTCTTTACAATACTGCACCTTCCGAGGTTCAAGCATGTCGAATCTTTCTACTTATCTTTCTTTTTATTTTTTTTAATATTTATTTTTTAGTTCTCCGCGGACACAACATCTTTGTTGGTATGTGGTGCTGAGGATCCAACCCAGCCGCACGCATGCCAGGCGAGCGCGCTACCGCTTGAGCCACATCCCCAGCCCTCTATCTTTCAATAAAGCTTGTAACTGTTAGATTTATTTCCAGATCCTTGGTGTATTTGAAGCTATGAGTACATGAGCATTTATTTATTTATTTAGATATAGGGGATTGAACTCAGGGGCACTCCACCACTGAGCCACATCCCAGCCCTATTTTGTATTTTATTTAGAGACAGGGTCTCCCTGATTTGCTTAGGGCCTCACTTGTGCTGAGGCTGGCTTTGAACTCATGATCTTTCTTCCTCAGCCTCCCAAGCCCGTGAAATTACAGGCATGCGACACTGCGCCTGGCGATCAAT